GGCAATTGGCTCACAAAGCTAGACCTCAAGGACACGTACTTCACCGTGCCGATCCATCCCCAGCACCGCCGGCTCCTGCGCTTCAGTTGGGAGGGCCAACTCTACGAGTTTCAGTGCCTACCGTTCGGCCTGTCCAGCCCCCCCCCCCCCGGGTATTCACGAAGCTGATGAAGGTCCCGATCAGTGTTCTTCGTCGTCAGGGCATTCGTCTCATCCTGTATCTCGACGACCTTCTCCTGATTGCCGAGTCACGGCCAGCCGCCGTGCTGCAGACGCAGCAGGCCATTCAACTCCTAGAATCTCTGGGTTTCGTAATCAATCGGAAGAAGTCCATTCCCGAGCCTACGCAACAGCTCGAGTTCCTAGGATTTCAGTTGAATTCTGTGGCCATGACGATGTCTGTGCCGATCGACAAGGCGCAGAAACTCCAGCAGGAGTGCCACCGAGACCTGTCCCAGCCCTACCTGTCCATCCGCGCATTGGCCTCACTCCTGGGCAGGATGGTTGCGTGCTCCCCAGGCATGTTTCTGGCTCCACTGCAATTCCGCCACCTTCAGCAGTTGAAGATTGCAGCCCTTCGTCGCCATCAGAGCTACCTTGCCACGATACGCCTGACGCCGGAAGCCAGGACGGAGTTGGCGTGGTGGGCTGCAGATCTAGAAACTTGGAATGGTCGCTCGATTCTCAAACCTCCCGCTCAGCTCACCATATTCTCCGATGCGTCCCTGCTCGGCTGCGGAGCGGTGTGCGGCACAACGAGTACCGGGGGTCAATGGTCCCCTACCGAGGCCAATCTCCACATCAATGCTCTGGAATTGATCGCTGCCTCATTTGCGGTGAAAGCCTTTCATCACCGGGCCTCGTACCGTCCTCTGCACATCAAGTTGTTGATCGACAACACGACAGCCGTCAGCTACATCAACAGCTTAGGCGGCACGCATTCCCGTCTCCTGTCCCAGATCGCTTGCGACCTCTGGAGATGGGCGGTCCAACACGATATCCGCCTCCAGGCGGAATATGTGCCGAGCGAGGAGAACCCAGCGGACCATCCTTCTCGGGGCTCCCTCTTCGAGTCCGGCGACTGGCGCCTGGACCCTGCTCTGTTTCGCAGGATTCGGAGGGCAGCTCCTTGGACCTTGGTGCTAGATCTGTTCGCATCTCGACTGAACACGCAACTTCCCGCCTTCTATGCTTGGAGGCCGGATCCGGAGGCTCTCGCTCTAGATGCGTTCTCTCAGAATTGGAGTCTCCCTCATCAGGACGTCACGCGGTGTATGCCTTCCCACCATTCTGCCTACTGGACAGGGTGCTTCATTGTGTGGCCTCACTCCATACTTGCCGGATGATACTGGTGGCACCAGTATGGGATACGCAGCCATGGTACGCGACTTTGCTGCAGCTGTTGGTCGATTTCCCCATGCTTCTGCCCACATTCGACTGCCTGCTACTCTCACCCTCGGGCCATCCACACTCACTGGTACTATCCCGCCACCTGCGCCTCGCCGCATGGCCTATCTCCAGCAGCGCTTCAATGCAGCAGGACTTTCTCCACAGGTCGTGCGACTCCTCTTGGCGGTCATCAACCAATGCCGCTTACGCATCGGCATGGGAGCAGTGGCTGGGCTGGTGCAGTCAACGGTCAGTGGATCCCGTTCGCCCATTTTTAGCTATGGTGCTCCAGTTCCTGGCCGATTCCTTTGAGGACGGCCGCAGCTACAGTACCATGAATGTCTATCGGTCAGCGATGTCTGCTACCCTGCCTGAGCTGGATGGTGCACCCATTGGCCAGCACCCGTTGGTGGTGCGTTTGCTCCGTGGTACAGTCAACTTCGCTAATAACGACTGCGGATATAACGACAATTCGCGAATAACGACCGAATTTCCATGCCCAGAGCAAAGTCCCATCTAACTGTATACATTTTACTTCGGATATAACGACTATCTGAATAACGACAATTCGCGTATAGCGACATGCTTTTAGTGCCCCGAGGTCATATTCACTGCTTGAATAACGACTTTCTGGGCTTTTGACAGCTATTTCAAGTACCTGTCAGTCAAGTACATGTACCTGTCATGCAGAAGTACCAGAACCTATGGTGCACTGGTGGCGGTGATGGATATTATTAATTTATTATAAAGGCACACATGCAAGAAAATGCAGCCAAGGGGGGCGGGGGGGGCTTTTTTCCTTTTTTATGTTGGCTTCAAAATTGTTGGATTTACCAGCACACCTACATGTATATGTATACAATGTACATGTAGTTGTACAAGATTGTACAGTGATCATCATACATGTACATGTCTCTGGCCCTGTAGATGGCTCAAAAAGGCATATTTTTCAATTGATTTCCCTTGCATATTGAATTTTTAGTTCCTTTCAACTGCAATATGAAAATAAAGTACGCATATTGACATAGAGCAAGAAAAGAGCTTGATTTTGATATGCATGTCATACTATACAAAATATGGGTACACATACATTCAAATGGGACTTCGGTTATAAGGACACTTCGCGAATAAGGACACTTTTCTGATGCCCCGCCGAATGTCGTTATTGGCGAAGTTGACTGTATCTGCCTAGAGCGTCCGCCGCAGCCGCGGTACTCACATACTTGGGATGTGGGTATTGTCACTTCTTGGCTCTCTAAACTGCCTGCCAACACGGACCTGTCTCTCCCTGTCTTGTCTGGCAAGTTGGCCATTCTGATGGCCTTGACTGCTGCTCGGCGCTCTTCGGACCTCCACCGGCTAAGCCTCAACTCTCATCGTTTCTCTGCCGAGGGCGTGGTGTTTGACTATCTCACACCCCCTAAGCAGCATCGCCCTGGTTCGGAACCAGCCCGACCTGTCACCTTTGCTGACTTTCCTGTGACTCCTGAACTCTGTGTTGTGGAGTGCTTCAGGGAGTACTTGCGTCGGACCGCCGACCTGCGGCAGGCATCTTCTGCACATCTGTTCCTCAGCACGAAGCGTCCGCACCACCCTGTCACCTCTGCAACGATTGCTCGTTGGATCAAGCAGGTTTATGTCCAAGGCTGGTGTGGATACATCATTGTTTGGCGCTCATTCCACTCGTGCCGCTTCTACGTCTGCTGCGAAGCGTAAAGCCTAGGTATGTCGACAGTGGACATCATGAAATGTGCTGACTGGAGTTGCGCATCCGTGTTCCAGCGCTTCCATTTCAAGCCGTGGGAGGGTGAGACCAGCGGCTCTTCCCCATCGGCACATCAGCAGTTCTGCCGCTCCGTGCTTGCGCCGTAGCGTTGCCAATGCTGGCCTGGCCAGGTTCTGAGTCTGTGACTTTGTGTCTACCTCAGTAATCCGATTGCTGTCTGTGCCTGGCTTTCTCAATGCCGTTCTATCTGTGCATGTGTATAGTACACGGCTTTCTCATTTATTCTTCCTTTTGCCATTACGCCTGTGTCCTTATTCTGGACAGGCCCTTTGTCACTTTCTGCGGCAAGTTCCCGTGGCACCGGTTTACCCTGTTCCTAACTGATTTGGTGGTGTGCATGGTGTGCTGCATGCCCGGTTGGGGGCCAGTGTTCATGGACGGTTGGACCCTCTCTCCGGTCTTGTGGTGTTCGCTTCACCTCTGATTTGAGCGTTGAAATCTACAGTGTTACATGGAGCGGAGCCTCTGATGTGCAATTGGCGATTATACCAAAGAAGGAACTCTGTTCTGATGAATCATAATTGCATGAAGAGGTGAAGCGAAATGTAACACTGTAGTCCCTCCCGCCCATCCCATTTACTTATTCACCGGGGAGTGCCCATGGACTTTATCTTGGCCATTGACGCGTTCAAACAAGGCCGAGGAAGGACTGGCCGAGCATGCGTGTTATGGTGTAGGCACGAGAAAAAGAAAAAGAAAAAAAAGCTTTGAAAACTTTTATTTATGCAGTAAAAATGTAGGGCCACTCACATGCTGTTACATTTCGCTTCACCTCTTCATGCAATTATGATTATACATCAGAACAGAGTTCCTTGTATAATCGGCAATTGTAGTACAGTACTAGTAGTCTTCGCAAGGCTGCAATATTATTTTGTGCAAACAACAGGTACATATACATGTAATAGCAAGAGTACATAAGCATAACCCGTACTCTTGGTAATAGCAAGAGTACATAAGGCCATGGGGTTATGTACTCTTGGTAATCAGGGTAATACTACTAGTAATAGTTACGTTTCCAGAGTGGCGCAAAACTTTTGCCAGATTCTCGAATCCATGCCAGCGCGTTTGTTTGCTACGCTCATTCCGATTCCGCGATGGGTACCGACGTCATTCCATGCCCTTTCGGGACTGAATGACGAACAAATGCAACCTCAGAGCTAGAGTGACCTCTTGGGGCATGTTCGATTGTACGAATCCGTGAGCCCCGGACCCGGATTCGCCAAATCTGTACATGTTTGATTGTACGAATCCGGATCCCGATCGGCCGAGAGCACGGATTCGGAATTTCGGATCCAGCCAACCCACCTCCCAGACCCAGAGACGGACTCGACAGACTCATTTCCATAGTAGATCTACGACTCATATCTACTCAAAACTCCCAATATGCGTAGACCACTGGTCTACACTACAAGTAGTTACAAGTGTGTTGTAGTCAAGAGTTCACCACAATGCATACAGATACTACGGAGTGTTTCTACTAGAATGCAGCCTTGATCTCTTTTTGTCGCCCTTGCAGTTTCAGTTACCAGGATCAAGAGTACATAACCACTCTTGCCAGGCTGATCTGCTGAGTGTTTGCAGTGAGCTGCGTGCGCATACCGGTACGCCAAATATGGCCATGTCAAACCTCATCATCGAACGCCTTTTCAAACCGCACAGGTTTGGACTCCGGCTCCGCTCAGCTTGAAAACACAGCCTTGTGCATCATGACAGTACTCATGGTACTCAGTCAGCAGATCTACGAGTCGTAGATCTACCTTTTTTTTTTAGATAAATACGTCGCGCGTGGTCATTTCTGCTTCAAAATTACTTCATTTTTGTTTGATTGTATCGGAGCTGGTATGTTTTCAAGTGGTCGTTCCATTCGAAAGTACATGGAGGGGGTGGAGTAATGGTAGTCGTAGTGTCCTTCTGATGTTGCTCTTCCGCATTGGACTTAGTAGCAATGAGCGATGAGATTGCATCCTGCGAGCCTGTTGTTACTAGCAGCGACAGTCAGTGTCCTGGAACCAGTAATATTTGCAAGCCAGACAGCTCACTCACAAGTCCAGTCGAAGGTATAGTAGCTGCAACTGTGGACACATCTGAATGTGATCTCGGCGTGGAGGCCTCTAACACGCAAGTGTTACCTTCGAGTGCAGTCATTTTTGAACCAGACTGTTGCGAACCTTCAGATAGCACAGCACAAAGGATAGCAGATGATGTGGCAGCTGCTGACACACCTCCTGAATGTGATCTCGGCGTGGCCTCTTCTAACTCACAAGTGTTATCTTCAAATGCAGTCACCACGTCACCTCCAACAGAAGTACCAGTGGCTGACTCTGGCAATGTTGATATGGGTGATGATACAGCTATATCCACGTCACCTTCCACAGTAGCACAAGTAACTGATTCTGATGCTGACCCGCACAACACTGTGCCAATGCAGTCAACACTCGACAATGTAAAGCTGTTGGGTGAGAATGACACTTGGAGTGTCACAGCGGCCGATGACAGTCGAGACGGCGATCACAATGGCTCGTTTATAACATTAGCTGATGGTTTACAAAGCAAAGATATAAGTGGTCCGGATGCAGAGATGTCTGACGTTGAGGACAATCGCAACCAGAGTGGCTCAGTCTTGTCCAATAAAGCAGCGCATGAACATGCTGATGACTGCCCATCAGAGTGTGGGCGATCGACACCTCCCACGTTCAGTTGTCGTGTAGATAGTCCGGAGCTGTGCCTATCTGATAGTACTGCTGAACATGTTCACCCGAGCTCTGATGGGTCTGTAGATTCTGATGCTCGCAACTTGGATTCTGGTCACGCGACTGGAATGTCCAAGTCACATTCAACAGTAGCACCAGTGGTTGACTCTGACAATGTTGATTCGGGTCATGATACGACAATATCCACGTCACCTTCAACCGCAGCACCAGTGACGGACTCTGGCAATGTTGATTCGGATAATGATACGGCTATATCCACGTCACCTTCAACAGAAGCACCAGTGACTGACTCTGCCAATGTTGATTCGGATCATGATACGGCTATATCCACGTCACCTTCAACCGCAGCATCAGTGACGGACTCTGGCAATGTTGATTCGGATCATGATACGGCTATAGCCACGTCACCTTCAACAGAAGCACCAGTGGTTGACTCTGCCAATGTTGATTCGGATCATGATACGCCCATATCCAAGTCACATTCAACAGCATCAGTGACTGACTCTGCCAATGTTGATTCTGATCATGATACGACTGTATCCACGTCGCCTTCAACAGCAGCACCAGTGGTTGACTCTGGCAATGTTGATTCGGATCATGATACGCCTATATCCAAGTCACATTCAACAGCAGCACCAGTGACTGACTCTGCCAATGTTGATTCTGATCATGATACGACTATATCCACGTCGCCTTCAACAGCAGCACCAGTGGTTGACTCTGGCAATGTTGATTCGGATCATGATACGGCTATATCTACGTCGCCTTCAACCGCAGCACCAGTGGTTGACTCCGGCAATGTTGATTCGAGTCATGATACGGCTATATCCACGTCACCTTCAACAGAAGCACCAGTGACCGACTCTGCCAATGTCGATTCGGATCATGATACGCCTATATCCACGTCACCTTCAACCGCAGCACCAGTGACGGACTCTGCCAATGTTGATTCGAATAATGATACGGCTATATCCACGTCACCTTCAACAGAAGCACCAGTGACTGACTCTGCCAATGTTGATTCGGATCATGATACGGCTATATCCACGTCGCCTTCAACCACAGCACCAGTGACGGACTCTGGCAATGTTGATTCGGATCATGATACGCCTATATCCAAGTCACATTCAACAGCAGCACCAGTGACTGACTCTGCCAATGTTGATTCTGATCAGGATACGACTATATCCACGTTGCCTTCAACAGCAGCACAAGTGGTTGACTCTGGAAATGTTGATTCGGATCATGATACGGCTATATCTACGTCGCCTTCAACCGCAGCACCAGTGGTTGACTCTGGCAATGTTGATTCGAGTCATGATACGGCTATATCCACGTCACCTTCAACAGAAGCACCAGTGACCGACTCTGCCAATGTCGATTCGGATAATGATACGGCTATATCCACGTCACCTTCAACAGAAGCACCAGTGACCGACTCTGCCAATGTCGATTCGGATAATGATACGGCTATATCCACGTCACCTTCAACAGAAGCACCAGTGACTGACTCTGCCAATGTTGATTCGGATCATGATACGGCTATATCCACGTCACCTTCAACCGCAGCATCAGTGACGGACTCTGGCAATGTTGATTCGGATCATGATACGCCTATATCCAAGTCACATTCAACAGCAACACCAGTGACTGACTCTGCCAATGTTGATTCTGATCATGATACGACTATATCCACGTCGCCTTCAACAGCAGCACCAGTGGTTGACTCTGGCAATGTTGATTCGGATAATGATACGGCTATATCCACGTCACCTTCAACAGAAGCACCAGTGACTGACTCTGCCAATGTTGATTCGGATCATGATACGCCTTTATCCAAGTCACATTCAACAGCAGCACCAGTGACTGACTCTGCCAATGTTGATTCTGATCATGATACGACTATATCCACGTCGCCGTCAACAGCAGCACCAGTGGTTGACTCTGGCAATGTTGATTCGGATCATGATACGGCTATATCTACGTCGCCTTCAACCGCAGCACCAGTGGTTGACTCTGGCAATGTTGAGTCGAGTCATGATGCGGCTATATCCACGTCACCTTCAACAGAAGCACCAGTGACCGACTCTGCCAATGTCGATTCAGATCATGATACGCCTATATCCACGTCACCTTCAACCGCAGCACCAGTGACGGACTCTGCCAATGTTGATTCGGATAATGATACGGCTATATCCACGTCATCTTCAACAGAAGCACCAGTGACTGACTCTGGCAATGTTGATTCGGATCATGATACGGCTATATCCACGTCACCTTCAACCGCAGCCTCAGTGACGGACTCTGGCAATGTTGATTCGGATCATGATACGCCCATATCCAAGTCACATTCAAAAGCAACACCAGTGACTGACTCTGCCAATGTTGATTCTGATCATGATACGACTATATCCACGTCGCCTTCAACCGCAGCACCAGTGGTTGACTCTGGCAATGTTGATTCGGATCATGATACGGCTATATCCACGTCGCCTTCAACAGCAGCACCAGTGATTGACTCTGGCAATGTTGATTCTGATCATCATACGACTATATCCACGTCGCCTTCAACAGCAGCACCAGTGGTTGACTCTGGCAATGTTGATTCGGATCATGATACGGCTATATCCACGTCGCCTTCAACCGCAGCACCAGTGGTTGACTCTGGCAATGTTGATTCGGATCATGATACGACAATATCCACGTCACCTTCAACCACAGTACCAGTGACGGACTCTGGCAATGTTCATTCGAGTCATGATACGGCTATATCCACGTCACCTTCAACAGAAGCACCGGTGACTGACTCTGCTAATGTGGACTCGGATCATGATACGACAATATCCACGTCACCTTCAACTGTAGTACCAGTGACTGACTCTGGCAATTTGGATCCTGATACAGCAATATCCACGTCAGTGACCGACTCTGGCAATTTGGATCCTGATACAGCAATATCCACGTCAGTGACGGACTCTGGCAATGTTGATTCAGATCATGATACGCCTATATCCACGTCACCTTCAACAGAAGCACCAGTGACTGACCCTGTCAATGTTGCTTTGGATCCTGATACGGCAATATCCACGTCAGTGACTGACTCTGGTAATGTTGATTCGAGTCATGATACGGCAATATCCATGTCACCTTCAACTGCAGTACCAGTGGTTGACTCTGCTAGTGTTGATTCGGATCACGATACGGCAATACCCATGCCACCTTCAACAGTAGCACCAGTGACTGACTTTGATGCTGACCCGCACGACACTGTTGTGTCAATGCCGTCAACACTCGACAATGCAAAGCTGTTGGATGAGAGTGACACTTGGAGTACCACAGCGCCCGATGACAATCGAGCAGGTGATCACAATGACTCATTTATAACATTAGCCGATGGTTTACAATGCAAAGATATACGAAGTTCGGATGCAGAGATGTCTGACATCAAGGACCGTCGCGACCAGAGTGGCCCAGACTTGTCCGATAAAGCTGCGCATGAACATGCTGTAGTCTGCCCTTCAGAATGTAGACGATCGACACTTCCCAAGTTCAGTTGTCTCGTTGAGGATGATGAACTGTGCCTACCTGATATTGCTGCTGAAAATAATCAGCCGGATTCTCTTTGGTCTGCGGACCCTGGCACTCGCAACGTTGATTCTGGTGATGGGACTGCAATATCCACGTCACCTTCAACTGCAGTACCAGTGGTTGACTCTGCCAATGTTGATTTGAGTCAAGATACGGCAATACCCACGTCACCTTCAACAGTAGCACCAGTGGCTGACTCTGATGCTGACCCGCACGACACTGTCGTGTCAATGCAGTCAACACTCGACAATGCAAAGCTGTTGGATGAGAGTGACACTTGGAGTACCACAGCGCCCGATGACAATCGAGCAGGTGATCACAATGACTCATTTATAACATTAGCCGATGGTTTACAATGCAAAGATATACGAAGTTCGGATGCAGAGATGTCTGACATCAAGGACCGTCGCGACCAGAGTGGCTCAGACTTGTCCGATAAAGCTGCGCATGAACATGCTGTAGTCTGCCCTTCAGAATGTAGACGATCGACACTTCCCAAGTTCAGTTGTCTCGTTGAGGATGATGAACTGTGCCTACCTGATATTGCTGCTGAAAATAATCAGCCGAATTCTCTTTGGTCTGCGGACCCTGGCACTCGCAACGTTGATTCTGGTGATGGGACTGCAATGTCCACGTCACCTTCAACTGCAGTACCAGTGGTTGACTCTGCCAATGTTGATTTGAGTCAAGATACGGCAATACCCACGTCACCTTCAACAGTAGCACCAGTGGCTGACTCTGATGCTGACCCGCACGACACTGTCGTGTCAATGCAGTCAACACTCGACAATGCAAAGCTGTTGGATGAGAGTGACACTTGGAGTGTCACAGCGGCCGATGACAGTCGAGCAGGCGATCACAATGACTCGTTTATAACATTAGCCGGTGGTTTACAATGCAAAGATATACATGGTTCGGATGCAGAAATGTCTGACATCGAGGACCGTCGCGACCAGAGTGGCCCAGACTTGTCCAATAAAGCTGCGCATGAACATGCTGTAGTCTGCCCTTCAGAATGTAGACGATCGACACTTCCCAAGTTCAGTTGTCTCGTTGAGGATGATGAACTGTGCCTACCTGATATTGCTGCTGAAAATAATCAGCCGAATTCTCTTTGGTCTGCGGACCCAGGCACTCGCAACGTTGATTCTGGTCATGGGACTGAAATATCCACGTCACCTTCAACTGCAGTACCAGTGGTTGACTCTGCCAATGTTGGTTTGAGTCAAGATACGGCAAAACCTTCAACAGTAGCACCAGTGACTGACTCTGATGCTGACCAGCACGACACTATCGTGTCAATGCAATCAACACTCGACAATGCAAAGCTGTTGGATGAGAGTGACACTTGGAGTGTCACAGCGGCCGATGACAGTCGAGCAGGCGATCACAATGACTCGTTTATAACATTAGCCGATGGTTTACAATGCAAAGATATACGAAGTTCGGATGCAGAGATGTCTGACATTGAGGACCGTCGCGACCAGAGTGGCCCAGTCTTGTCTGATAAACCAGCGCATGAAAGTGTGGGTGCCTTTGCGCCAGAATGTGGTGCAGGATTGCGTGACACCCCTGGCGACGTGCACAGCAGCGGCCGTAGTGCGTTTGTGACCAGTGGCAAGGCACCTACACAAGATTCGCTCATGGATGGTAGTTTCAGCTTTGACGAGCCAAGCATCAGCAGCAGAGAAGCCACTAGGACTTACTTCGGCCCGTGCATGAGTGGTGAAGAGTCCTTCAACGACGGCGACGCCGACGGCAGTATGTCAATGCGCAGCATGATCTCAGTCAGCGAGTATCCCCGGCGTGCTGTTGGCCGTGTTAGCGGCATTTGCAGCGACTCGATCCTTAATCAGCCGCTTCCTTCCAGTGCCGGGGAGCACGTGAAGGCTAGAAAGTCCTGTGTGGCAGTGGTCAGTCCCAACTGGACGGTATCGCGTAGGGACTCTTTCCCATGTATTCCGGACAGTGCACGGGGTGCGGGCACATGTGACTCTGACAGTTCAAACTCAGTCGACGAAAGCGTCCAGTCAATCCATGGCAGTGAGTCGCTGGATGGAGTCGCAGTGGATCCTGGAGTCCTGTGCATGTCAAGTCGCTTGTGCTTATTTGGGGACGGTGAGAGAGAACTGACTACTGTGGACTCGGCTGATGAAAGTGCCGGCGAAAATGACATGTTTCCCAGTCAGTCGGTGCCACCTGGCACATTGCCACGTTCACAAACCAAGTTCCTTGAACTATCAAACTCGACCATTAGGCTTCGACCTGATTCTCCATCTCAAGCGACGATGATTGAGCACAATGTTGCTGGTCTGAACAAGCTCATTTCCGGAGAAGCCTTACACACCTCAGATCGATCGTCGGATGCAGCCACCGTCAGTCGGCTTGCAGAGCACCTGTTGAAAACCGGCTTCGTTTTGGAGCCTATCGGCGACTCAGCATTCCTTCTGCGCAGTGCTGTGGCTGCGTATGCCGAGCGTATGGAAGCGGGGCCTGTGAAGAAAGAGCCCGAGGTGCTCTCGCTGGCAGAGCACAGAACATTGCTGATTGAAGCTACGCGCCAGCAGTCCAAGATTGTCCAGGAGTCAGAGGCAGCAAATGCCAAGGCCCTGAAAGAAATGGAAGAGCAGCACAGTAAGAGTATCAAGCAACTTCAAGAAGACCTGCAGAAAGTGCGCGAAGAGCTCGCCAACACGCTGAGGGAAAAGGAAAACGCAACGCCAAAGCCAACGGAACCGGTGAAGGTTGAAGTTCCAGCAGCTGCTGCTGCCGCGCCACCGCCGCCGCCACCACCTCCTCCGCCCTCGTCCGATGGCAGTGCAGGAGCTGCACCACCACCGCCGCCACCTCCTCCACCTGGTGGCATGGGAGGACCACCGCCGCCGCCTCCGCCACCAGGTGGCTTTCCCGGCGGTGGTCCACCTCCACCTCCACCACCGCCTGGTGGCATGCCGGGTGCACCTCCACCTCCACCGGGCATGGGCGGACCACCACCGCCACCCGGCATGCCTTTCATACCTGGCATGGTACCCGGGGGGCAGCAGCAGCAGGGCAAAGTCCGACCCAATGTCGCTAAACTCAAGAAGCCCAAGGAATTGAAGCCGCTCTTCTGGAGCCGAATTCAATTGAAGCCTACTGGGCCGAAGCCAGACTGTCTTTGGACTAAGCTGTCGGAGCCACTTATCGACACTGACGAGCTGGAGTCATTGTTTATCAAGAAGAGCCCTAACAACAAGTCCATTGTCAAGTCAATGAAGGACATGGGTAAGAAGACGAGCAAGCCGGCAGCTATCAAGCCGGTCACTGCTCTGGATGGTAAGCGCTTTCAGTCTGTTGGTATTGTGATGAATGTGCTGCGCATGTCACTGGAGGAGTTGCAGACCTCTATGCTCAACTTGGATGCCACTGTGCTGACGGAGGAGCACATTCGCAGTTTGTGGGAAGTGCGGCCGCAGGGTGACGAAATCTCCTCCATCAAAAGCCTGGCGAAAGGCGAAGCTCCGCTTGACAAGCCCGACACGTTTCTTCTGTCCGTGAACGAGATCCCATCTTTCTCGGAGCGTCTGCAGTGTATGTTGCTGAAGGGCTGCTTTGCTGAGGCACTGTCGGACGTGTCACGCCGTGCTACGGACATGCTGCTTGTTGTTGACTTCTTGCACAACAGTTCTAGTGTGCACACGCTGCTCGGCTTCGTGCTGGCGTTTGGCAACTGTATGAACTCTACCAACAACTCGCGTGGCAACGCCGATGGATTCCAGCTGGATCTGCTCTCCAAGCTGCGCGACGTGAAGTCGCACGACAACCAGACGAATCTCTTGCGTCACTTGTGCATAATGTGGATCATGCAAGACCCCAACGCGGGCACGAATGAGTGCAAATTACCGTTGCCAGAGCCTGCCGACCTCACGCAAGCCACAGCAGTCAAGTTTGACGAGGTCTCTGCCGACCTGCGCAAGCTTGACGAGGAAGTCAAGGGAGCGCAGGCCGCCTACAAGAAGGTCATCAAGGAGAGCAACAAGACCAACCGAGAGCCGTTCAAGACCATCATGGAGGTGTTCCTGTCCATGGCCACCAGAGAGCTGACATCTGCACGCTCCTTACTGGAAGAGTGTATCGAGCGGTTCCAAGCTCTAGTCACATTCTACCAGGTGAAGCCACAGCCGGGCGAGTCTGAAGTAGCTCCTAAAGACTTTTTCGAACTGTGGATCCCTTTCACCACTGAATTCAAGGAGTACTGGAAGAAAGAGCAAAAGGAAGTGCTCAAGGTGAAGGTGGAGAAAGCCAAGGTGATTGTGGAGGAGAAGAAAGCTAATGTCAGTGTCAAGGTCAAGGAGTCTTCTGGGCTCAAGGCCAAGATGCTGGCAAAGAATCTCCGCAGGACGATCCGTCGCAACACCAAGGATGCCGACAAGTAGTCCTGGCTCCATGGCAGCTACACTAGGCCTCTACCTGGCTCTGTGCACAAGCAGAACAACGTCTTGCTGCTGCTGGTAAGTGTACAGAGTAGAGTGTGAATTCTCAGCCATGCTGTGCATGCCATGAAGAAACCTGCATGACTCTAGATGTGCTTTCCTTTCCTCGGCACAATTATTTCTTAGGCTACTTATGCCGCTTAGGGCTACTCTATCGGTCTTGCGTTGTCTCGACTCTCCACCGCCGCTTCTAGCTACCGCATCCTCGTTGTGCGTACGTATGCAACGTGCTTGCAGCTAGCTCCCCCTGTGCATTTGCATTCATATCCTAGGTCCTACACCATCGGCGGTGCTGCTTTGTCCAGCTTTGTGCGGGCTAAGCGTGGAGCTCTACTCGCCTGTTAGCGGTATGTACAGCAGGTACATGTATAGTCCCTGCATGGCGGCCCAATTTCAGGTCTATATCTATTCCGAGTCGTGTTTAGCTTGATATGCTCCTCTGCACTTGACTCTCCCAGCATTTCATTGTTTATTTTTCGTGTCATGGGCATTTACACTGCCTCCCTCTGGATATTTCTATTTCCCAACAATTTTGGGCCGGTCCCACCTCCCCTCTTTCAATAGCTGCACTGAAAGTTAGCTTTAAGTTTGAGCTTTGTTAATGTCGAGCAATGACATGCTCAGGTCTAATTGATGTTGCTGGCTTTTTTGAGCTCCTTGTTTGTAACTTCTTTTTGTATCTTAATCGTATCTCTCTCTCTCTCTCTCTCTCTCTCTCTCTCTCTCTCTCTCTCTCTCTCTCCCTCTCTCTCTCTCTCTCTCTCTCTCTCTCTCTCTCTCTCTCTCTCTCTCTCTCTCTCTCTCTCTCTCTCTCTCTTTCTTTCTCTCTTTCTTTCTCTCTCTCCCTCCCTCCCTCCCTCTCTCTCTCTCTCTCTCTCTCTCTCTCTCTCTCTCTCTCTCTCTCTCTCTCTCTCTCTCTCTCTCTCTCTCTCTCTCTCTCTCTCTCTCTCTCTCTCTCTCTCTCTCTCTCTCTCTCTCTCTCTCTCTCTCTCTCTCTCTCTCTCTCTCTCTCTCTCTCCCCCCCTCTCTCTCTCTCTGTCTCTCTAACTCACACACACACACACACACACACACACACACACACACACACACACACACACACACACACACACACACACACACACACTCTCTCTCTCTCTCTCTCTCTCTCTCTCTCTCTCTCTCTCCCCCCCCCCCCTCTCTCTCTCTCTCTCTCTCATACACACACACACACACACACACACACACACACACACACACACACACACACACACACACACACACACACACACACACACACACACACACTCTCTTATACATTGTTGTTAGTTAGTACAGGTTTTCTCTTTTCTAGTATGCTGCTTTGTGGCTTCCTCTGCTCTTACTTTCAGACTTGTCTTGAGATATTTCTTGGCTTGCCTGGCAGCAGCAGCAGGGAAGAATTTACCTTTAGGATATTAATAGAAACTTTGTATTGCTTGACTGTAGAGACGAAGCCGTTATGCTGCTGGTGGCTATGGCTGGCCTTGACACACCCGATACTACCCACTGACCTATTTTCGTTGTTATGAAACAAAATCACATGGATGTGAAATGTGCACTGTTTGTGTGTACATGTATGTGTGCGTTGGTGCCTGTATGCATGACTGATTGTGCTCATGTGTTCTTGTGTGTGTATGTGTGTGTGTGTGTTCATGTGTGTGTGTTCATGTGTGTGTGTTCATGTGTGTGTGTGTTCATGTTTGTGTGTTCATGTGTGTGTGTGTGTGTGTGTGTGTGTGTGTGTGTGTGTGTGTGTGTGTGTGTGTGTGTGTGTGTGTGTGTGTGTGTGTGTGTGTGTGTGTGTGTGTGTGTGTGTGTGTGTGTGTGTGTGTGTGTGGTGTTTGTGTGAGGTTGTTGGTATGTCTGTTAGCTCTGGGTTCCCAGTACTCAGTAGCCGAGGCTGGTTGGTAAAGTAACTCCAATTTCACTTCAAGGTACCAGTGCATCTAGTGTCTGCTTCTATCAAAGCAGCGTGCTGTCTACGGATTACCCCAGCAAGTGTAGGGTGTGCATAGGTGACTGTCTTGGCCGTTTTATGCCGATGTACTCTGTGTGGTGTAGACCAGGTGTGCATTGGTGGTCGATTCACATGGCTTCGCCAGTTGTGTGGATTGGACAGTTTTCTGGCGCAAGTGTTGATCTGTCTCATTCAGATCTTGGTCGCTATCGTCAAGAGTACATAACCCCCCCCCCCCCCCCAGAGTGTGCAACGCCGATCCAGCTCTGTGTAGGGTCTTGGTCGAGCGGAATCGGATCTTCTGATGTCATGCGTACACTTCACACCAGCGCAAGGCCGGTCTCGAGGCAGGGCACCATTGTTTTTGATCCAAGAGTACCCGCGACTCCCCGGGTTCCCCTCAGATGTGTACGGTATTATGACGCAAAGATCCGATTCCGCTCAAACAAGACCCTATGCAGGGCTGGATCAGGCGTTGCACACTCTGGGGTGTTATGTACTCTTGCTATCGTTGCTATAAGAGAAAACCTGTGGGTGCACATCCAGTGCATTTGCAGATTTGCGTGCTTCTCTTGCAATGGGCGTATACATGGTACATGGCACATGGTGTGTGTGTGTGTGTGTGTGTGTGTGTGTGTGTGTGTGTGTGTGTGTGTGTGTGTGTGTGTGTGTGTGTGTGTGTGGAGGAGGCACTGAAAACGCGTCGACTCCGCTGGTTAGGCCACGTTGCTCGAATGGATGACTCCCGTATGCCAAAGTGTATCCTCTTTGCTGACTGGACAAGACCCGGCCACGTCATGAGCCCCGGAAGCGGTGGTGGGACAATGTTGTGTCCGACATGAAGGACCGCCAGATAGTGGACTGTACGACCTCGCCCAGGATAGCAGAGAGTGGAGATCAGCGTGCAGCACGATTCCTCCGACCGAGCCCGTCACCTTAGACTTCGTTTGCACTTGTGGAAAGCACTATCGCCGTCGCCAGGACTTGACTCGCCACGCCCGATTCTGCTCGTGACTTGAACACTGTTGGTCCCTCCGGGACCTGCTATCATCTCCGGATGGGCATATTGTATTGTGTGTGTGTGTGTGTGTGTGTGTGTGTGTGTGTGTGTGTGTGTGTGTGTATGTGTGTGTGTATGTGTGTGCACAAGTTGCTATGGCTTCTGCTGTAGCATCGCTATCATCGCCTCCGGCGATGCGCGTCTAATGGTCAATGATCAATGGCGTGTGTGTGTATGTGTGTGTGTGTGCGCACGCACGCGCGTGGTGTGTGTGTGTGTGCGATGGCGGTTGCGTCCCTGGGTTGAGCGGCCAGAGAACGGGACAAGTTCCCGCATATGTGTATCTGCTCTTGCCGGTTCCGACTAGTCTCGCATCTGGAGCGCCATCGGGTGGCGTGCTCTTTCTCTCTCTCTGCTGCCCCTCCGGGGCCCACGTGACCCTAGTGGTAGTGGCTCTACAGGACAGGACAGGTGTGTGTGTGTGCGTGCACGCGCGTGGTGTGTGTGTGTGTGTGTGTGTGTGTGTGTGTGTGTGTGTGTACGGCGCTCAAATGTGTACAGAAGTCACATTGCATTTGAAAGATGATAATTATAGAACCTTCGCATGGACCTTTTGTACAAACCAAATACAAACCAAATACAAACCACATACAAACCACATACAAACCACATACAAACCACATACAAACCACATCCTCTTCTCTACTACAGTGTATACAGGATCAATTTGTTGCGTTTCGTTTCAACCTACAGTAGTCTGCACTACAACTTTGTACACGACTCCGTAGCTACATGCTGTAAATAAAATAGAAACCATGAAACTACGAGTATGCCGGTACAACACTTGTCAGTACCGGTATCCATATTCATTGTACAGGTGGAATCCTGATAATCCGAACATACCGCTTAATTAGAAGTTTTTCCAGGACCGATTTCTGTCAATACGGTTCCCACATAAATTTTTCTGATAATTCGAACCTCGAACCAGACATGTCCGGTTAATTCGAAGAGAAAATGTGTGGGATTTGTGCTGATAATTCCGCAACTGCCAAGCCTCTTATATTATACGGGCAAAATAAACACAATTACGAGTGCAACCTCAACAGCACCGGAAGAAAAACGAGCAAAAAATTAATGGCTGTGAAAACAGTCGAGAGAGCAAAAAAAGGCTGAGAGCAAAAATGGCTGTGAAAACAGTCTAGTACGGAGCCTCGGGAGGGAGCTTTAACCGATGCTGCTCATGGCAACCGCAAATCGGGCCGAGTCATTTGCATCTGAGGGCACGCGGTGCCGATGGCCTCGCAGACTGGCAACAGCCGCACGGATGAGGGCAAAGCTGAGCTTACATCGGATGTAGGACATTGTGGCAGCGTACGGCTCCTGCTTCTTGTCGGCGAGCATCGATGCCAGCCGGGCATAGAGTGCTGTCGCAGCTTTGCCATACCCTCCAGTGCAGGACAAGACATTTGTGCTGATAATTCGAAGTTGGCAAAGTGTAATTCGAAGTTCACTGTACACTGTAGGTCTACTGGTCAGTTCAGTTTGCATGAGCAGGCTGTGCCGGTCAGTTCAGTATCCGTGAAATCTGTGTCTAAGGTCCATAGCGCAACTCTGCGTGACCATGATGAGAGCATTTTGATAATGTAATAATAATTATTATTATTACACTCATACCTCGGTTATCCGGACCCCGAAGTTACGGGCACTTCGGTCTACCGGGCACTATTTGGGCGAGTTTCAGGGGAAATATTACTACTCTTTTGTCACTTTTCGTAGAAATATTGACGTCATATGCCATATCGATGGCCTTTTCCCCATCAAGATGATTCGGAGTTACGGACATTTCAAAGTTACGGGCAGGGTTTACGACTCCCTGGTTACGGACAGTGCAAGGTCCCGGACTGCCCGGATAAACGAGGTATGAGTGTACATTATTGTGTTGTGGGTTCATGTTTGGATAATTTATTAGAATGTCCGGCTAATTAGAAGTTTTTTCCTGGCATTTCGAGGTTCGAATTATCAGGATTCCACCTGTACTAATTATTTGTACATGTACACTGTACGAGTAGTGTAAAAATTGCTGTGTCATCATTATTCCCATTATGGTCATGATGACTGAATGCGCTCGCTTTTTTTCTTGGAGTTGGAGTCCTGCCGAATGCTAGGGAACGGGGTTGCTCATGGCAACGCTCAGACTACATGAAGCCGATGACAATATTCGTCAATAATTTTAGTACATGACTGATGAAGAAGTCCACCAGCTAGCTGGCTAGGTGCACTTACAAAAATACTGGCGCTTCTCCTTGTCCGACAGCCGTGTGCTGGTTACTCCAAACTAACTTCGTGGCCGAGGCAGAAGATAGATGATCGGAAGTCTGGCAAATATCGGTAGTAGGCGGTACATGTGAAGGACGTCCAGGCCTTGATGAATTCACAAGGAGCGTTTCGGACCTCTACCTCTCTCTACACATCTCTCTACTGCTCAACTGCTTCGACCTGTCAGTTTGGGAGGACACGGGTTCTGCTGACTGAAAAAGTGCTGGCGAGTCTATCCGACAGTCGGGTGGAAGCTAGCTAGTGCTAGCACGTGGAATTGAAGGAACGACAGTCCACTAGCCACTAGTGTTGTTTCAAAGAACAGGTGATAGTGACGACCACTCGAAATAGTGCCGCGAATACTCGTTATCATCGTCTCATGCTACCTAGTGCGTATGGTGCCACAGCCAGGCTGATGTCGGTAGCAAGCAAGTTGATCCAGCGTTGACTATACGTACACTGTCAACACACATATGCCCTGGAATATTATACCCAAACTCGGCGCTGGAACAGCGAACTACACATCAGCCCAACCGAGATCAGTAGACATTCTGCCAACCCCAGCACGTCCTACCACGAACCGGGATCAGCAGCAGCAGCAGCACTAACAGCAACAGCCACGCTCTTTCTTTTTGATGTAAGCTGTCGTCATGCCGGCGAAGAAGAAAGGAAAGGGGAAGAAGACTGGCAAGGGGAAGAAAGGTGGCAAAGGAAAAAAGTAAGTACGAGTAAAGGGATGCTGCTGCTGCTGCTGCTGCTGCTGAGATTGTAGGAGCATCCTCTACATCATCATCCGAGGATAACATGTCCGCAGTGCCTGCACCTTGTACTGGTACATAATAACCGCGGGGTGGGGGTCGCATGAAGCCACACTCCGCGTACATTTGCTGAGGTCACTTTACATTGTTTGCAAACTACTTTGCAAGCGTAACAGTCATGTTGCATCATGTCATTTGCTGTGAAACGATTTGCTGTGAAACGCTGCCGCCACAGCACTGCATGGATAGGGAATGTGCTGTGAAACGCTGCCGCCACAGCACTGCATGGATAGGGAATGTGCTGTGAAACGCTGCCGCCACAGCACTGCATGGATAGGGAATGTGCTGTGAAACGCTGCCGCCACAGCACTGCATGGATAGGGAATGTGCTGTGAAACACTGCCGCCACAGCACTGCATGGATAGGGAATGTGCTGTGAAACGCTGCCGCCACAGCACTGCATGGATAGGGAATGTGCTGTGAAACACTGCCGCCACAGCACTGCATGGATAGGGAATGTGCTGTGAAACACTGCCGCCACAGCACTGCATGGATAGGGAATGTGCTGTGAAACGCTGCCGCCACAGCACTGCATGGATAGGGAATGTGCTGTGAAACACTGCCGCCACAGCACTGCATGGATAGGGAATGTGCTGTGAAACACTGCCGCCACAGCACTGCATGGATAGGGAATGTGCTGTGAAACACTGCCGCCACAGCACTGCATGGATAGGGAATGTGCTGTGAAACACTGCCGCCACAGCACTGCATGGATAGGGAATGTGCGAGTTGATTGCACGCTCTTGGGTTTCCTGTACCGGTCACCATTGGTAACGCGCCGTGCGTTCAAAGTGGATAGACATTAGCGCTTTGGCTCATTGATCTTCACACACACACGCACCTGTCTGCCTGTGACCTCCCCGCTCACCATTATTCGTAAGCCGCATAATGGCAATATTCTCGTCTTGACAAAAACTGATGCCGCCACTACTGTAGTACCCCCCCCCCCCCCTCGCATAACTGCCACTCACCACTCACCACTCACCATCCCGTCACTACTGTCTGTAGTACCCCCCTCGCATAACTGCCACTCACCACTCACCATCCCATCACTACTGTCTGTAGTACCCTCGCATAACTGCCACTCACCACTCACCATCCCGTCTTGTACACCTATCCTAGTGGTGATAGCTTTTAAAGACGAACACCATTACGATGACCTTGCTCAGCTGACGGCGGCCCTAAGCTTCAAGACATGCCGTCCCCCTGCATGCGGGGTATAATGTGTCCATCTGTTGCACACAGGGCATTGCAGAATTGCAGCTCTTGAACTGCCCAGCGTGCAAATCCCGATTTTTTGCAAATTCAACATTGCTAGCATTTGCATTTGGGGTGTGGGCAGAATGATATGACACTAGTGTGTGCCAATGCTGCTCTGTTTTCAGGGGCAAGAAGAAGGCGTCCGTAGCCAAAGCCGCCGGGGCAGATGTGGCAGGGCCCACGAAAGAAGAACTGCTGCAAGCAAGGGTGTTTGAAGGACGTTTGAAGGCCACGGAGGATGCACGGAAAGAGTTTAGGTAGGGTCCTGGGTTGGGGGGGGGGGGGGCACGGTGACGCAATGTTATTGTAGATGATCAGTGTGCAATGGCCAAAAGACAAAATTAATGTACTCACTGCGGCTATGAGGTTTGTAAAATTAATGTACTCACTGCGGCTATGAGGTTTGTAACTGGATGCATTGTGACTGATGTACTCCTATAAAGTCTTGCAAAGCCATGGCCTGATTTCTGCTCGCACTTGTGGACATTATTTCTGGGCCGATTATGTAATTCAGTCTTATTGATTATGTCATGTGAAAATTGCACGACACTCGAAGATGGTGTTCAGCGATCCAGGACTTGTTAATTCTACATGTTGGTAGTGTGCGCCTTCTAGCACCACATACTACTGTAGTGCTTTATTTCGTTACCAGCAAGCGTTGTTTTTTATTTGGATATTCACTCCATGTTCTTTAGGGTTGTTGCCAGGCAACTGGCAGCAGACAATGAAGCAATGCAAGACCAAATCATGCAGGTAAAGCTTGGTGGCCACACGCACACACACGCACGCACACACACGCACGCGCGCGCGCGCACGTACACACACATACATGCACACACATGCGCACATGTACACACACACACACGCCCGCGCACACACGCACACATGTGTGCACGCAAGCATTTACTAGCATACAGAAGAAGGTGACGTAGATGTGACTGGGGCACATGAAGCATGAGAAGCAGAATGAGAGACTTACTGGGTACTACCTACTGATCTATGTGGCACTGTAAACCGCCCAATGTTTGCGTCACTAAATTTTTGCGCTCTCTCAGAACCAGCGAGTTTACAATGGCAAATGTTCGCGGAGCACCGTGGTCACACATATACACCCAGTGTTGAAGTTTGACTTCACGATGGTCAATATTTACGTTGTGCTCTTCTCGCAAAATTAGCAAACAGTAATGCATCGCAAACATTAGGCTGTTTACAGTATGTCTCCATTATTCATGTACCAAAGATGTCTTTCCAATTGAATTCATGTGCTTGTGCGCACGTCACAATGGTTCTTGTGTTACTGTCTCTGTGTTCAGAGTGAGCATGACACGCTAGAAGTGGTATCATTCTTGAAGCGGGAGAGCCAAAGCAAAGATGACCAGGTGGGTTGTGTACATTGCTGCATGAATACTGCTGTAATATCACTGTGGAACTTTTCCAAGGATTCGCAAACTCCATGCTGCAGCCACCAACACATCACCCCTGAGTCTGAACACTCACTCACATAACTATGATGTCTTCACTCCTACACCACTCTCTCTCTATATATAACTTTCTCAAAGAGTTTCAAGTAGTAGCAAAGAGACCACAATGTGTGTAGGTGTTCAGATTAGGGTAAGTTAAGCCTATAATCAAATCTTCACCCGTTGTCTTTGGGGTGCTGAGTCGAATGGTCTTGGTTCGAGGAAGCTGAGACGCTTGCTTCCTCCTTTATTCCCTATCGAACGCGCGACTTCCACCGAAACTGGGTGACTGCACCCTACAGGTCTAGAAGGGGATATGTATGCAAAACGTCACTAAAAATTAGTACTGGTACTTACAGTTTCGAATTTAGTGGTCGCACTTGTACTAACTTTCGGGCGGGGTACTGACCAGTTTCGGGCATGAACTAACTTCAGGCCTGACTTTCGGGCATGAACTAACTTCAGGCCTGACTTTCGGGCATGAACTAACTTCAGGCCTGACTTTCGGGCATGAACTAACTTCAGGCCTGACTTTCGGGCATGAACTAACTTCAGGCCTGACTTTCGGGCATGAACTAACTTCAGGCCTGACTTTCGGGCATGAACTAACTTCAGGCCTGACTTTCGGGCATGAACTAACTTCAGGCCTGACTTTCGGGCATGAACTAACTTCAGGCCTGACTTTCGGGCATGAACTAACTTCAGGCCTGACTTTCGGGCATGAACTAACTTCAGGCCTGACTTTCGGGCATGAACTAACTTCAGGCCTGACTTTCGGGCATGAACTAACTTCAGGCCTGACTTTCGGGCATGAACTAACTTCAGGCCTGACTTTCGGGCATGAACTAACTTCAGGCCTGACTTTCGGGCATGAACTAACTTCAGGCCTGACTTTCGGGCATGAACTAACTTCAGGCCTGACTTTCGGGCATGAACTAACTTCAGGCCTGACTTTCGGGCATGAACTAACTTCAGGCCTGACTTTCGGGCATGAACTAACTTCAGGCCTGACTTTCGGGCATGAACTAACTTCAGGCCTGACTTTCGGGCATGAACTAACTTCAGGCCTGACTTTCGGGCATGAACTAACTTCAGGCCTGACTTTCGGGCATGAACTAACTTCAGGCCTGACTTTCGGGCATGAACTAACTTCAGGCCTGACTTTCGGGCATGAACTAACTTCAGGCCTGACTTTCGGGCATGAACTAACTTCAGGCCTGACTTTCGGGCATGAACTAACTTCAGGCCTGACTTTCGGGCATGAACTAACTTCAGGCCTGACTTTCGGGCATGAACTAACTTCAGGCCTGACTTTCGGGCATGAACTAACTTCAGGCCTGACTTTCGGGCATGAACTAACTTCAGGCCTGACTTTCGGGCATGAACTAACTTCAGGCCTGACTTTCGGGCATGAACTAACTTCAGGCCTGACTTTCGGGCATGAACTAACTTCAGGCCTGACTTTCGGGCATGAACTAACTTCAGGCCTGACTTTCGGGCATGAACTAACTTCAGGCCTGACTTTCGGGCATGAACTAACTTCAGGCCTGACTTTCGGGCATGAACTAACTTCAGGCCTGACTTTCGGGCATGAACTAACTTCAGGCCTGACTTTCGGGCATGAACTAACTTCAGGCCTGACTTTCGGGCATGAACTAACTTCAGGCCTGACTTTCGGGCATGAACTAACTTCAGGCCTGACTTGCGGGCATGAACTAACTTCAGGCCTGACTTTCGGGCATGAACTAACTTCAGGCCTGACTTGCGGGCATGAACTAACTTCAGGCCTGACTTTCGGGCATGAACTAACTTCAGGCCTGACTTGCGCGTAGTGAAGAGGCCTTTTTTTCTCCGGTGCAGCGCGTTGCATGTGTGAACTGTACCAGTACGTGTTTTGGGCAGTATCTTTGCCGGGCTCAGCTTAACTTCTATTGAGAGAGTCAATTCTATTTTGGGCATGTGCTTATTTGTGGACCTTTACAGTACTTCTTGTTCTTGACCTGCCCGGTTCGCGAACCCGTAGAATTTTATTATTATTATTTTTTTACAGTAGTAGTAAAGCACCAGAGTGATCTGGCTGTAGGCAACGTACTTTTACAGTCATGTACAACCGTGCCATGCACAGTCGTACACCGCCATACTTTAGTAGTTTAGCTTGACCGTGCCACGGCGCGCAGAAAATCGTTCTTCTGCCGGGATGGGGGCGGCCTTTCTGTAATGCTCTGAGTGTAATAAGTATGCTGCATCAGGAATGATTCGGACCTGGAATGATGATCGGTCTCCTTAAGCCAGATGGTGTCTTATCACAGCGGTCACTAAAAGGCAGGCTTTGTTGTGTACGAATGGCTGACTGACTGCTTGCCCTGTGTCCCGCTGCAACGCTGCAGATCGTCAAGCTACAGCAGCAGGTGAAGGATCTCCGGCGAGAAACTCGTAAAGAGCATGAAGCACTGGTGACGGAGTTCAGTCAGCAGATCAACAAGTTAGAGGACGAAATCTGTCAGAAGAAGGAAGAGGTAAGTGAACTCATGTGGCAGCGTTACGAGGACCTTTATGCTTTTAAAGTAGGTGGAAAGATCATGATGCAGGTCTTCTGCATAACTCTGTTCAACTTGGTTTTTAAACTAGCTTCCCTGGCTGAGCCTATTGTTGAGGGTTGCCTCCAATGCAGGGTACTAGTAGTAAAGTAATGGCCGCAGTGCCGTATTCAACTCAATGTAGCTATCAGAAATGATTCCCACCATGCCCGGTGATTATAGGCCAATGTCACCGTCTCAGTGCTAGGCTTCTGTTCAAGTCAGGCCTCTATTCGAACCGTCGGGTATTTCTTTGTATGTCAACAGTCAACACTATGCAAGACACTGCAGTATAGCATTCAGTTAGTGCAGTGCTAGGACTACTGATTCTGACCAGTGCTGGCTTATGAATCCCCGGACCACATTGGATGTGCTGGAAGTGAAGCGGCTTTGCCACGGTTTGATTGCTGTCCGGTTCTGCTCCACAGATCGAAGTCATGAACGCTGAGCTAAAGCTTGTGAAAGAGTTCCGCAAGAAGCGAGCCATCATGCAGAGGGAGCTGGATGAGGTAACTGGTGTATGCACACTGTAGCACTGGTTACAAGACCTGTGTGCTCCTGCATGTACAGGGACCTTCAAATGTGGTCTCTGTTTACAGGTGGTCTCCGTATCCAGGGTCGTTTGACTGGAAATAGCATCCCTTGGTCCTGGTTACAGTGGTCTTCTGGGGCACTTATCCGACTCAAGTGGTCACCTTACGGACAGGTTTTACTGTACATTATGTGTTGTCGCTGTGTGCATGTGTGCATGTGTGCATGTGTGCATGTGTGCATGTGTGCATGTGTGCATGTGTAGGGTTCCCAACATCCATGGACAATGTTTCACCACTCCTATTAACGATCTTCAGAATACCGTACTGTAGCAGCACAATGTTGTAGTTGTGATGTATCAGTTAGGTTATGCGTGTAAATAACCAGCAGCATTCGCTGTATGTTGACATTGAAGTGAACCGGCAGGATGCTGAGTCAAAGGCCGTGTTTCCACTTAAGGGCCTGGATGCGAGATGAGAGAGGAAAGATAGCAGGTCGGCAGCCGAGATGTGATACGCAACAGTCCAAAGCCGGAGGCATGGCCTATAGTGTACGAGCGCAGCATAGTCGTGTTGCAGGTGTACTGCAGTTTTACTACGGTGTTTTTCTATCCAGTGCAGCTGTGATAGGGGTGAAATCCAACCCAAAGCACCAAGCTGCCGTCCTGGACCAGTTCCGCTTACATCACACATGTATGCTCAGCGGCTTTTGCACCACTTCCAGCCAGGGGTGTCAAGGTCCGTGCAAGTCTAGCGCACCAGATGTGCACGTCACGGGGGCTGCATTTCAGCAAGCAAAACTGAACATGTACTTCTAAAAAAGTAAGTGCCGCTGAGAACCACTGTGTGTCCCTGTCCAGCTGCGGGAAAAGACGGAGGTGACCGAAATCGAACACCAGCAGCTGGTATCTCAGATGGACCGCAAGCACATCGAGGAGAAATCTCGTCTACAGAAAGAGGCCGATCGCAAAGTGACGGAGCTGGCTCAAGAAGCACATCAGCACGCAATCAGGTAGGCCTTTAAGGGGTCGTCCGTGATAATCACCTTTATTTGTATCACAACCTAGCAAAGCGTAGACACAGGCAAGACCCCTCCAAACCGTGCACACATAGTACTGTCACCATGACAACCATATACTGTACGGCAAATGATGGGTTCACCCTGTGAGCGTCCAAATCCCTGTATCTCCCCTCTGCCGTACGTTTTTTTATGATCGTGATAAAATTAATAGTGACTGTTAAAGACGGCCCTGAAGGGTTTCTCATGATAATGTAGCGTTACTGCCCCAGGATGGTGATCATGTTGTATCGTGGGCATGCTTCTGTCAGGAATGACTCGTGGTGTAGTTTTCAGTGGTCCCTACCCCCTCCCCTCTGTCCAAACCCCAGGAGAGCCTAGCAAGTCTATGCATGTGATCTGCCATTACCATTACATCTCTGTGTGTGTGCGTGTGTGCGCGCACCGCGCTCGCGCGTGTGTGTATGTGTGTTTGTGTGTGTGTGTGTGTGTGTGTGTGTGTGTGTGTGTGTGTGTGTGTGTGTGTGTGTGTGTGTGTGTGCGTGTGTGTGTGTTGTCTTCTTCACAACTGGCATCTGTTCATCTGTTGTGCTGTCTTCCATTTACTCTTGTTAATTGCTGCACTAAATAGTAAGCTGGATGATGCTGCAAAGGATGTGTTCCGGGAGAATGTTCGCTTGAAGGATGCTCTCAAGTTGCACATGGACGAAGGCAAGCAGTTGCAGAAGGTAAGGAGAGTGACGACTCGTATCTCTATGATGTACACCCAACCACAAGTATGCACCGGTGCATACAGGCAACCAGCTCTAACAAGAGAAAGACATCTGCTGGAATCCAATAGTTTTCATCACCCAGGCGTGGCTTTTAAATTTGACATTTCCGGTAAATTCATCAAATGTTGCACCATGTTGAGATGGTCCAGTGAAGAGTGATTTTGGACTACCAGATTCCAGCGCGTTTCTCTGCTTCATTCCAGGCCATGAGCATCCACAGAAGAAATATTCTGGAATCTGTTGTTCTTTTGACCCCCTCCCCCCCCCCCTACCCTTCTCCTCTAATCTATGGTACTGTAGGGACTAAGTAGGTATTATCATGATCCATTATAGTGGCATGGTACATCTGCGGTATGACATTGTATGCCTGTTGTACACAGCGTGTCGCCCTGTGCTATCATGCGGCTTGTTGTATTAATATTGTATGCTGGCTCGGCGTAATACTGTGTGTTTGTGTGCAGGACAGTGCAAAACTGGAAGAGGAAAACGCACGTCTCAAGCAAGCGGCGGTAAGACTGCATACCGGTGGCAGACATGCGGTGGACATGTACTTGTATGCACCACCAGCCTTGCACAGACGATGATTTCAGGATTGTGACAATTGGCATCATCGAGTCTTTATACAAACTATGATTGCATGATTGTGACGATTGGCATCATCGAGTTCTGGCTTGGCTACGACTGGCACTGACTTCTGCTAATGTCCTCGCATTCTGCATGTGCTTCCAGGAGACCGACCGGCTTGTTCACGAAGAGAGAGCTGCGCAAGCCATGGCGATGAAGAGTCAGAACAAGCAGGTAAGCAACCGGACATCACCAGTTGTACTGTGCTGGGTTGTTGGCACTCTAACGCGAGGCACAGACACACTAACGCGGAATTAAAGCTGTGTGGACCCTGGCTAGCGCCAGACGTTACTGAAGTAACGTCTTTTGCATAGCTACGGGAATAAAACTCTGGTTCACTCCTTGTTGACTACACATTGCTATTTTGTGGAATATGATAAAACTCCCGTCCATGGCTTACACTGTCACTGATCCCAAGAAGTGTCTAGAAGAGATGCTGTGGTTCACAATGGCATGATGTGTGGTGTGAACTTGAAGAGATATTGATGGTACATGTACTGTACACAGCGTGCTGGCCTTGCTAAGGCCTTACAATGCCGGTATAAGAAGCTGGCTATAGAGGTTCCCGCAATGAAAATTGATAAGATTTGGAGGTTAGTGCATCGAGTATTGAAATTCATATGAACTTTTGACGGAAAAAGAGCTTAGCGACTTTAAGTTCCCACTACCGCAAGCTGCGAAATAACCGATGTTCGTAGCCTTGTTCATCGCTGCCTGATCCGTCGAATGCTACGAAACTTCATTTTGTGTAACCTCTCAATTGTCTCCTGTTGAAGGACTGACAGAGCATGGAAACAACAGTCCATGTGTCAGAGCTTAGAAGCCATGAAGACTGGTGACCACCTCCCTTCCCTCTGTAGACTACCTTGCTTGTGTGTATGTGTATGTGCATGTGTATGTGTGCGCATGTGTGCGCGTATGTATACGTGTGCATGTGCGTATACATGTGTGTGTGTGTGTGTGTGTGTGTATATATGTGTGTGTGTGTGTATGTGTGTATGTGTGTGTGTGTGTGTGTGTGTGTGTGTGTGTGTGTGTGTGTGTGTGTGTGTGCGCGTACGTGTGTATGTGTGTGTATGTGTGTGTATGTATGTGTGTGTGTATGTGTGTACATCACGGTATGTATATGTGTGCATAATGTATGTGTGTGCTAGTTGCAAGACAAGGTGATCAGCCTGGAGCAAATGCTCAGCAGACTGGTGCGAGACGTGGAGGCTGAAAAGCAGCAATTCCGACGGGGTGTGCAACGAGAAGTCAATGCTATGAAGTAAGAAATTTTGTAGCAATCAGTACTACATGTAGTAATCATCGAGTCGCTGACAGCTATACTTATATAGAACTTGAATATTTGATTTGAATTGGATGTGGCCTGGTAATATGTTCCCATGTGAAACGCTATCTCATGATGGTGATCCACAGCAACCAATGATGAAATTATTGACGTCTGATCATCACTGTTGTGTCGTCTTGTGCTTTTTTGCAGGGAGGAAAACGTCTCCCTGCGTCAGACTCTGAGTGTCAAGTGCGAAGAAATGAACAAGATCAAGTTAGTTGCAAAGCAATTGCTTGATCAGGTGAGCCCGGCATGTTGTGTGCACTGCATCAGTAACGATGCTCCGATGAGTGTAGCTCAGTAGTTAATCTTTCACAATTGCTGCACCAGTGCTATGTTCACTTGAAGGAGGCATGCACTGTGCTTGGCACAGCTGCACGCTGCATACACGGTGTACAGTCAACTTTGCTAATAACGACTGCGGATATAACGACAATTCGCGAATAACGACAGAATTTCCATGCCCAGAGCAAAGTCCCATCCCACTGTAATACATACAGTGGTGGTCAAAAGTTTTGACCCACCATGCAGATTTTTCGAATTCTGAAGGTTTGGGCTGTAAGCTACAAAATTTTTGGTCGAGGACCTCTGAATCAGGCTGAATAGTGAAGTAGAAATGAAAAATGCTGAAACATGGAGTCATCTGGGGACTACTGTGGTCAAGTATATGTAAAAGGTGGGTCAAAACTTATGGCCAACGCCCGCACTATCATAAACCGCCAATAGGATACACGGAATAGTGTGATTTCTAAAAAGTATTCAACTAAACTAAAGTCTAGAAGTCAGTCCCGGCCTATTCCAGATACATCCACCACTTTGTAACCCCTCCCTTGGCCTTGATGATCGCTTGCATACACTGCCGCATTGAATCGACGATCTTCTTGCGCTCGTGAGGAGAAATCAACTTCTATGCCTCCCGGCACACTCGCCACAGCTCATACTGGTTTCTGGGGGTGATTTCGACATCGTGCTGCCTCAGCCCAGCAATTTTGCAGAGATTCTCAGTTGGATTGAGGTCAGGTGGCTGCAGGGGCCATGTCAGGACGGTGATGCCGTTCACCGTCCGCCGCGCCTCCGTTCTGTTTGCGGAGCGTTTGCGGCCATAAGACACCACCCACACCACCCACAAGCTGCATCATGCTCAGCAACATCATGTTTTCGGATGATGCGAGGTACTGGTCCGCATTCATCGTATCCATCACCCGGCAAATGCGCGTTACGCCGTTGCTGGCCATGGCTCACATACATTGATATTGCCGTCGCGGCGCTTCACAGTTTTGCGGGTGCATGTGCCAGCCAGAGCCTATCCTGTCCACCTCCTGACGTAAACTGCATCACCAGAGAGCCCTTGAGGTTGATTTTAGACTCATCAGTCCACAGAAATTACCACCAGTCATCACTGCTCCAGTCCTTGTGCGTCTATACAAATTTAAGGCGTTTTGCCTTAGTCACAGCACTGATGAAGGGCCATTTGATGGCCATACAGCCACGTAGGCCTGCTCTCTGCAACTTGCGTCTCACAGAACGCACAGAAATCGCGTTATCACCGTCGCTCACCATCTCAGCTCGCAGGCAGTGACGGATTTGAGGCGATTCGCCATTGACTTCATGATATGGTGGCGATCTTGTCTTGCACTGGTCTCTCTTGGTCGGTCTGATCGTGGTGAAATGTAGTCAATTTTTGTTTCCTGACAATTCTACGTATCGTAGAATTACTCAAATCCAACAGAGGAGCGATACCACGCCAAAAGAGACCGTCAACACTCAGCTTCACGACCATTTCCCTCACATCCTTGCTAATCTGACCTCGGTTCACTATCCTGGCTGAAAATACCATCTCCGTCGTCAAAATAATCAAGTTTGATATCGCAAACTCTCAAAGACTGAAGTCAAGTGTTGATTTTCAACTTTCCCGGCACGTGCATCAGCCTGACAACTTTTTTGAAACCGTACGGTACGGTAGAGTAAAATTTGGTCACGTGGCCATAAGTTTTGACCCACCCAAATGTGTGGTGATCCATCACAAATCTCAGTTGACAACGGATTCTTGCAAATTTTAGTGTCCTTGCCAAGTTTCAATCGGCTTTGGCCTCAAAGGAGTCAAAAACGACGTGTTTAGGAGCCAGGCTGAGCTGTACTGACGATTCCATGGGGTGGGTCAAAACTTTTGGCCACCACTGTACAATGAGACTTCGGGTATAACGACACTTCGCGGATAAGGACACCTTTTTGATGCCCTGCCTAGTGTCGTTATAAGCGAAGTTGACTGTACTACGAGCTGCAGTGGAGGAAATAACTTTGCTCACTACTGCGTGACACCGCATGAGTTTTGCGACCGTAAAATTTAACCATCACAGTACCGTATTAACTTAGGAACTAGGACACTCTGTACATATCTTCTAGCTGCCATACTGTAAAACGAGCATTTATTCCGTTCCATATCCGGACAGCTAGCTGTTTCGACTTTCTCCTGGGTCTCATCAGCGGAGCTTAGAATGATCGGTGAAACCAGTGCCGGAGTATTACTCAATGGAAAAGTGATCCTCAGTGGTACTGAGCTAAGAATCTAGTTTAGCACTGATAAGGAGGAATATTCCAACCATGCTCTCCCTGTTCAATGTTGTTTGCTACTTTCTTCAGAGAGCGTCGGTGGAGGATTTCTTCCTCAGCGCACTGACGCAGGTCAGGCAGGAGATCGAGAAAAGCAGGTCAGAACAGTCAGAACATTGCCAGTGCCGCAATCATCAGTGAACTGCAATACATGTACTGGATTGTTTGATTTGTGTGCATAGGCCAGTGTAGATTTGTTGAAAAAAACTTTAAAATCCTGTAGCCAGGACGATTTTATAACACTGCCAATGTGAGAGGAGCATGTTTCTATACATGGCACTCACTTTTCCAGCATGTCACTGGCTGTATGATAAAGCAACGCACTTAGCTGGGTGACACCAGTCATTTTGGATAGACTATCCATCAGGCTTGTACTTTGATGACCAGGGATTGCAGAGCTTATCAGGTTTTTAGAAGATGCCGTTGACACGTGTTGTGCTGTGCTTATTCGTGTAGGTCTAACTACCGTGCCACAGCCAAAGCCATGTACAGTCAGAAGATGCGGGATGCCATGATGGGAAAAGGCCCGTTCCCGAACGTCCGCACCTTTGGCAAGTCCAAGACAAGCACAAACTCCGTGTTTGCGGACATGAACGTGGCGGATGAATGGTGGGTGAACTCTGGTAGCGCTTACCCGGTACAGTCAGACCTCGCTCATCCGGTCCTCTTTTATCCGGATCCCTCTCCATCCGGAAGAAAATCGTTCGTCACCAGATTACAGCGTATGTAGTGCATACATACAGCATGTGTGTTCGATTATCCAGTTCCCTCGTCTATCCGGATATTCTTGTGGAAAACGGATGTGTGCGTTTGAACGAGGTCTGACTGTACAACCTTAGCCACTGTGACATTTGCAGCGACATGTCTTGATCAAGCGCAGACTCTCAAACCACACACACACACACACACACACACACACACACACACACACACACACACACACACACACACACACACACACACACACACACACACACACACACACACACACAGTCTACTGCAGCAATGTTACGCCCCTGCCTTGCCGCTTGCACACACATGACTGTCTTGTGGCTGGTTACACTGCCAGACTGCTGCACATACATCTGTATGTACTTGTACGTGATGTGTTGCACTTACACCCGGCAATGCTTTTGTGAGTAGTGACTGGTGTGGTGTGAGTAGTGACTGGTGTGGTGTGAGTAGTGACTGGTGTGGTGTGAGTAGTGACTGGTGTGGTGTGAGTAGTGACTGGTGTGGTGTGAGTAGTGACTGGTGTGGTGTGAGTAGTGACTGGTGTGGTGTGAGTAGTGACTGGTGTGGTGTGAGTAGTGACTGGTGTGGTGTGAGTAGTGACTGGTGTGGTGTGAGTAGTGACTGGTGTGGTGTGAGTAGTGACTGGTGTGGTGTGAGTAGTGACTGGTGTGGTGTGAGTAGTGACTGGTGTGGTGTGAGTAGTGACTGGTGTGGTGTGAGTAGTGACTGGTGTGGTGTGAGTAGTGACTGGTGTGGTGTGAGTAGTGACTGGTGTGGTGTGAGTAGTGACTGGTGTGCGGTTCACAGTGGAGTCTACTGTGAGTAGACTCCACTGTGAACTTGTGTGAAGTGGTCATGCAGACATGCAGCTTAACGGACGGGGCACTAACAGGGCAACCGTAGAATCCCGCCGATAAGCCCATGGGCTTATCTGTTTCACAAGGACATTTCGGTGGGCTTATGCAAGAATATGGGCTATACGCGGGCATGGGCTTATACGCTGACACCAACGTTGTGCTATTGAAAAATATCAAGGCAGTGAGAAGAACATTGCTGAAAACCACTGTGCAAACAAAAACAACCGATGGTTGTGTTGAAATGTACAAAAAACAAAACAAAAACTACATGTACTACGTACATCATACATGTACATGGTATGGCCCGGAGTCCATAATTTATGGACTCTTGGCACGACTTAGGCCCATGGGCTTGTATGCCGAAGCCTTGTGATGTTCGAACTCTCCCTGGGCTTATGTGCGGGCATGGGCTTATACGCAGGTGGGCTTATCCGCGGGATTCTACGGTATGTATGGGACTCTGATTACTCTCTCTCTCTTTCTCTCTCTCTCTCTCTCTCTCTCTCTCTCTCTCTCTCTCTCTCTCTCTCTCTCTCTCTCTCTCTCTCTCTCTCTCTCACGTGTTAGGCCGGAAGACATGCAAGGAGGCGCTGACCTGAGTGACCTGACGTGGGAACAAAAAGAGCAGGTTCTTCGTCTTCTCTTTGCCCAGATGAACACTGGAACTGAGCTACCACCAAGGAGGTAGGCTGCTGTCACTTAGTACACAGTTGTGTTCTGCACATGAAAATGCATGCACAGTAGTTCAATTATAGATATGCTGCCAAAACATCTCACGCGTTTATTAATTAATCCATTCGACTTGGTCTTGGCTTGTCTCGCAGAGCCGATCCACTTCCAGCAATTGCACCGGCCCAGAGGAAGCCGCCGATGCCTGCAAGCGGCTTGGAGACTAGTCCGCAGCGTTACAGTCAAGCTGCAGAAAGTAGCAGCAGTACTCTGCTTGCTATTACTGACGGGGGACGCCGTGATCGGTAAGTCCGCTTTAGAGATGTTCCGCCGCACTATGATTGTAATGTTGATGAACGTTGCATGATGAGAAGGGAAAAGCACGTGAGGTTGCAGTTATGTAAAACATGAGGGAACTTGCGCATCCCTACCTTTCTAAGAATACAACTTCAGTCCAGTCGGGAATTGTGTAATCCACATGCAGAACTTGGTAAAGCAGACCCTTCATTTATAGGCATGGACACTACGTGCACTGCCACAGCCAGCCACTACCATGCACTCGATGTATCTACTATTGACTTCGAAGTACACATTGATAACTCGAATCCTTCATACTGTTGAGCATGTGTGAGTACATAATGTGTGTATGGGCACATGGATCTGTGTCGATATGTCCTTGGAAGTCAGGCAGATTTGAGTTTTCCAATGGCATACGATTCTGACCATCAATCTTTCTTCTTTATTCCAGGAAACTCGAGCCGATCCAGTCGTCTTCAGTGTCCGGAAGAGTGAGAAATTTGCCACTGTCGATGGGAAACAACTCAAGAGGCCATCCATCTGACGTGCCTTTATCCACGGAAGTTGATACAACATTGATTGGCACCCGTTAGCCTCTTATAAAGTCTATTGACTGTGGACTTCAGTGTAAAGCTACTATAGAGTATAGACCTGCTATAGAGTATAGACCGGCTATGCTCTGTGTACAGCAGGGTCTTTACATGCTCGGTATCATCACATCCCCGCCAGCGGGAGCTTGTGAGCACAGCGTGCCTTGAGACTTGTTGCACTGCGGGTTGCCGTCGCATTACCTCGGCCACGTGCAACTCTGAGACCGCTCTGCATGTTGAAACCCCTTCCGCCGAGCTCCTTCACAGTCTTGTGCATCAGCGATCATCGACTGGTGGTGGCCTACACAATGTACACTGCCGGTTACGTGCTTGCCGCCATCCTGTGTTTTCTTGCCATGCACACTATGTTTGTATCATGTAGTGAAGTAGTGTTTCTCCAGATGTTGATTGCGACGGAAGACTTTATTTTGTGCCTTTTGGAAGCTGATTGCAGAATGATCTTTATTAATGTCATACAATGCAGTCGTCCTACGGACGGTACTGCTTCGAATTGGGGAAAAAACTGCATCAAATTTCTGTGTGGACCAGGAGTACTAAAACAACTGGTATTTTTCTGAAATCCATAAAACTCTCCTCATGCCGCCATCATCCGCCAAAGACTACAGTATCAGTGTATGAGCCGTATGGGGCCGTCCCCGGTTAGCCCGGCTTGGCAGATTTATGCTGGCATAATTTCTGGCATAATCTTCGGATCGTTCACGGTCTAAAAATTATGCCCTGGCACAGTCATAGTGCCAGGGGCGTTGTATCGTTGCAACGTGTAACCAGAGTGCGAGGGTACAGTATAGCACCATCATTGGCCAGCATAGTGTGGCATAATGGAAAGCATGATTCAGTACTTTACCGAGCAAAATCGGCCAAGGGCTGTTCGTACTGAGTTCACCATACCACTAGATTGGACCGCAGCATAGTATACCACCATCATTGGCCTAATTCCAGCGTATTATAGCATAATCACTGGCATAATTTGGCCATAGTGGAAAGCATAGTTCAGCCATTTACCGAGCATAATCCGCCAAGGGCTAGCCCCGGTTCAGACCCTCTTTTTCCTGGGGGGGGGGGGGGGGGGGGTAGTATGTCATTATGGTTGCAGTCACGAACACTGTTTTCCATACCCAAACAGTGTGATCATGTAGATCTACCCAGACCAGGGAGTCGTCAAAATATTGGTATAAACCAGGGAGTCGTAAAAGCCCGGGAGAGGACACGGGATGCGCGCACGCGGACGATGTTTGCCTCGGCCAGAAAGTGAAGCACGCTAGGCCGGCGCGGCCGGATCTGCTCGATCCACGGCGCTGTGCTTGTCTTCAGGGCAGGGAGTCCTAAAATACCAATATTTTACAACTCGTTGTTGACACCATTATCCGAAACTGGTGGCGAAGGAAGGATAAACATGATTGTATGTCTGTCAGACTCAGTACAGGGGTGGGGAGTTGAGTGTGTGTGTGTGTGTGTGGGGGGGGGGGGGGGAGGCGTGTGTATGTGCACATGTGCTTGTACTTTTGTGTGTGTTTGTACAGTGTTTGTGTGTGTGCTTGTGTGTGCGCGCGAACGTGTGTGTGCATTTTTGTGCACAATTCCGTTATGAAGTACAAATGATAGGTTTACCTTTTGTACACTCGCCAAGACTTCCGTTTCCTAAACGGCTCAAGTCACCGCGTACTCAGCATACGAGTAGAAAAGTGTTGAAATTATCAAGATTTATAAATAACGACCTGCAACCATGTACATGTACAATGTAGATAGATAGGGAACACACATTGATTGTTTTTAAAAGAATCCAGGCATTATCATGAATCATGGAACGAGTGCGTAATAATGCTCTATGTTGCGTTTTGACGATGCTGAAGGAAGGGAGCCGTCGCGATTTACTCACAACACACGCACAGAAGTCCACTCGACTGCAATTTCTGACACAAATTCATAAATCCACGAGTACGCCGAGGAAGCTCAGCGGATCTCCACAAGAACTTTCGCCCATCACCTGCAATGGAATATGGGCTGTATGCTACGACCAGCGGCTAACACGGGAAGTGGCGTCATTTTCCACAAATCTCGTTTCATTCACAACCATTTGACTGCAATTCAGTGCAATTTCTGCCACAAATTCAACTCCACGAGTACGAGGAAACTCAGCGGATCTCAACACGAACGTTGGCCCATCACCTGCAATGGAATATGGGCTGTATGATACGACCAGCGGCTAACACGGGAAGTGGCGTCATTTTCCACAAATCTCGTTTCATTCACAACCATTTGACTGCAATTCAGTGCAATTTCTGCCACAAATTCAACTCCACGAGTACGAGGAAACTCAGCGGATCTCAACACGAACGTTGGCCCATCACCTGCAATGGAATATGGGCTGTATGCTACGACCAGCGGCTAACACGGGAAGTGGCGTCATTTTCCACAAATCTCGTTTCATTCACAACCATTTGACTGCAATTCAGTGCAATTTCTGCCACAAATTCAACTCCACGAGTACGAGGAAACTCAGCGGATCTCAACACGAACGTTGGCCCATCACCTGCAATGGAATATGGGCTGTATGATACGACCAGCGGCTAACACGGGAAGTGGCGTCATTTTCCACAAATCTCGTTTCATTCACAACCATTTGACTGCAATTCAGTGCAATTTCTGCCACAAATTCAACTCCACGAGTACGAGGAAACTCAGCGGATCTCAACACGAACGTTGGCCCATCACCTGCAATGGAATATGGGCTGTATGATACGACCAGCGGCTAACACGGGAAGTGGCGTCATTTTCCACAAATCTCGTTTCATTCACAACCATTTGACTGCAATTCAGTGCAATTTCTGCCACAAATTCAACTCCACGAGTACGAGGAAACTCAGCGGATCTCAACACGAACGTTGGCCCATCACCTGCAATGGAATATGGGCTGTATGATACGACCAGCGGCTAACACGGGAAGTGGCGTCATTTTCCACAAATCTCATTTCGTTCACCCCAACTCAAATAAAAGTGAAGTACAATTAGGGATTTGTCTTGCATTTCCATCGCCTCAGAATAAATTAACTTCGATAAACTGAGAGAGAATGAGTGAGGCAGCTGGAAGATGAGGATGAAAATAGAGATCAGAAGACTCGACGGAGCAATCGTCTCCGTGCTCTAAGAGAAATCGGAGAATGTCCCAATTAGTATTTCAAGAAGACATCACAATTTTCGAAAATAATAATTTCCTTGCCTCGCAACACCGTTCCCTGGCAGCGTTCCCCGGCAGCGCGAGGCAAAGATGTTTTCTGGGAATGTGTGCCGTGTCCTCTCCCGGGCTTTTACGACTCCCTGGTATAAACTCCCCCGTACCCCGTCACACCTCACCCGGAGGCTCACTAGATCTATAGAACGTACTCTCTCTGGGAGTCTGGGTACAATGTATGGCAAGTGTTGTAAGTACTGTACAATCAGTATGACAGTTACTAGTATGTCAACTAATTACTTATGATCAGGCATACCAGTACCGGTAGTAAAGTAACCAGCAGGACTGGTGTAGTACACTACTTCATGCAGGGAATCGACGACTCCCTGCTGAGTGCGAGTCTACCATGTGTTACCAGGTTACCAGTGCCAGGCCTACACTACAGCTTCAAAGCAACACTTATGCCTAGAACTTACTTAGAAGTAACATAGTTATGGCAACAAGAAGCAAAATGGGACTAGGAGTAGGACCCGGCCCAGTACAGTAGCAATGCACTGCACCAGACCCAACAAGTCCACCATACTACTCAGTTATGGTTGCCATTGTTGGGAACGTTTTATTCGCACAGTAACACACTGTACATCTTACAGGTACAGCTACTGTAGTAGTGACTAGTACGAGCCGTACAGTGCTGTTTCTGCGAGGTGTTGTGGCTTATCACTGCGAACTATTTACTTACCGTTCACACTGCTTCGCGGTTTCTAGGTGACATTCACAATGTGCAGTCAACTAAGTTTAGTTAGTTTACTTGAGAACGGTTCTATTCACAACACCATGAAGGAAGAGTCAAAGCAAAAAAAAAACCCAATTTCGGAAATAAATAGAACACTCAATACTCAATTGAAAATTAATAATATTACTAGTACTAGCAAGAGTGCATAAATGGACTCTTGGTACTGGTAGTAGTTACTTCAATGTATTGCTGACTGCTCATTGTCACGGTCACAAACCATGTGCATCATTGACCAGTGAGACGTACGTACATACCCATACGACTCCTTGCCAACGACAACGTACACGAATGGCGTCCAATGGACATTCGCACGTACGAGTGGCATTGGCATTGCATATTGCCTATTGGCAAGAGGTCAGAGTAGTTTTCTCGACGTGTCAAGAGGCTCCGTATCACTCAGTTTTTTCTCTTACTTACAGTAGTCAACAGTATAACCAAGAGTCCATAACCGGGGTTATCATGGTTATGGACTCTTGGTATAATTATAGTAATCAGTAGTCAGTATACCACACACGATGTCATGCACTCAACGTTACTTTTGTTACTCACCCATAATCGTGGTTCCAGGGTAGTGCTACATTGTATCACAGTCTGTACAGTGGATATTATCAGCAGATAATAGTCGCCTGATCATAGCCTGATGATTGCATTGAGCAAGAAACTCTGAGTTGCGACAAATCTGTAAACAGCCTTTTTGTGTGTACGTCAGATACAGTCATGTCATTGTACGTAGATCTACATTGTGTGCCAGTGCCACTGCCTGCCACTGTGGCTACTCGATCACCATAGTCACCCCGCGCATCAGTACACAGTCCACAGAAGCCGCTTCAAGCGTGACCCTCAACGTGAAACAGTTCCTCCTCGACTCAAGTCACTCCTGTGCCTCAACTCTCTTGCAAAAGAGGCGCACTGAGACTTTCTGTTGTCCTCCGCGCTAGGAAATTCTCTGCCTTCCGCCCAGCCGAGGTCCCTATAGTAGGCTATAGTAGGCTATAGGTCTTGAAGTACCTAAGTCAGTCCTGTATCGAAACTGAGTGTGAAGGACACGGTAGTACAGCAACTTTGAGTGAGTGCTTTTCACCGCCGTGCCGACTAGTGCAGCGCCCTTACACGAACCGCAGTGCCTGAACTATTTTCGTCACGGTCGACCGTAGTGGATGCCGCGAGTCGCCAGGGATAGGGCAATAGCCCTGCGGGATGACGACTACGAGCTCGGAACATACACTCGAGCAATCAGCACGACGTCTCCGGAAGCGCAGAGATGGTTCAACAGAGGACTAGCCTGGACGTTCGCCTTCAACCATGAAGCCGGCATCCGCTGCTTTGAGGTTGTCCTGGAGCTAGATCCACAGTGCGCCCTTGCCCACTGGGGTATAGCATTCTGCAATGGCGTGAACTACAACAACAGCTCCCAGTTCACACAGCCAGGAAAATTCCCGTCTCTGAACGATGCAAGCGAGCACGGTCGCAAAGCACTGGCGCTTCTGGAGCACGCATCAGCAGTTGAACAGATGCTGGTGGAGGCAATCGTGGCACGGTGCGACATTGATGCCATGCCCAATTCTTGCCAGGAGCGCCGCAAGTTGAACAGTGAGTTCGCTGCGAACATGGCCAAGGTGTACGAAGCTTACCCAGACGATCCTGACATTGCCGCCCTCTACGGCGAATCCTTGATGAACATCTATCCGTGGCACCTGTGGGTGAACGGGAAGGTGCGCGAGCCCGACGCGTTGTTTGCGGGAACTGCGGTGATACTAGACGTGCTGCGCTCGGGTCTGTCCAAGGCACCGTCTCACCCTGGCCTGCTCCACATGTACATTCACGCCATGGAGATGGCACCGGCTCCTCAGGTGTGCTTGCCGGAGACCAACCGCCTGCGTAACCTTGCCAAAGACGCCGGCCATCTGCTGCACATGCCGTCACACATTGATGTGCTGGTGGGCAACTACGAAGATGCCATCGTCGCCAACACCCGAGCCATCGAGGCCGATCGCAAGTACATATCTCGCAACGGCGCTGGCAACTTCTACATGCTTTACTGCTGTCACGACTGTCACATGATGGTGTACTCTGCCATGATGGCTGGAGACCAGAGGAGGGCGACCGAGGCAGCCAATGAGCTGCGGACCTGGTTACTAAAGAAGGAAGTCGAGGCGCTGATGAAGCACAAGATGGCGGATATGCTCGAGAGTTTTGTGTCCATGCATATGCACGTCAAGGTGCGCTTCGGCCAGTGGAAAGAAATCCTGAACGAGCCGCTGCCCACCGATGAAGGCCTCTACTGCACCACCCTGGCTGTAACGCGCTATGCACGTGTACTGGCATTTGCGGCACTGTGCGATGTGGAGAACGCCACCGTTGAGCTGAGGGCGTTCAAAAAGGCATACGACAAGGTGCCTGAGACCCGCACCACGTTCAGCATGGTGTGCCGCGATGTGCTGGCAGTGGCTAGCGCAATGGCCGATGGGGAAGTTTCTTATCGCCGGGGCGACCACCAGCTTGCATTTACACAGCTCCGGGAAGCTGTCGTACTTGACGATGGCATGCCATACAATGAGCCGTGGGGCTGGATGCAGCCGGCTCGACATGCACTGGGCGCTCTGCTTCTTGAGCAGGGCCACGCCGAGCAAGCAATCAAAGTCTACCGCACAGACCTGGAGATTGGCCACCATCCCCGCAACATCTGGGCGCTGCACGGCCTGGAGGAGTGCTTGCAGAAGTCACCGTCGCTGGCCGCTCACGATGGCGAGCTGAAGGAGACGCAAGAGCTGTTAGAGCGAGCCAGGCAGTGCTGTGATGTGAGCGTTACGGCATCGTGCTTCTGTCGTCTGTCCGTGTGTGGTGATAAACACATGGGTGTTGGAAGGGAGGAGAGGAAGTCTGCGGTGAAGATCACTGATGCTTGAGAGCATCCGTGATACACAGTCACACAATAGGCCGGGACAGTATTCCAGTGATGGAGTATAGTTGTAATTTCTAGCTATTCATTTTTCTCTATCTCATGGTTCTTCGTATCCGGAGGATCAATTGCTGCCAAATAATCATCCCTTGCAATAGCAACACTACCACACCACCACGATCTTACACTGCAATTCAGTAATAATTACCATAAATCTCCCCAAAGTTTCTTCCCAGGGGCTTCATCAGGGAGTATGGGAGTATACATGTACATGTACATGTATACTCCCCGCGGCATGAAGCCCCAACGACGACAATCGAAGAGGTGCATGTACATGTACATAATTTTTCAGTGGACATCATGTCTTATGCTGTTGTAGTAGTCGATAAAAATTACCGTCAGCGTTCATCAGTTCCACACGTTCTTGTCCTGTCTCTTTGGTCACAGCCTCACCGTGACTTGTGTGCCAGTCCACAGTTTGCAAAAACATTGTATCAAAATTAAAGGCGTGTTATTTTTTCATTGGTTTGAGGGATAGAAAGGCCGGAAAAGTCAGAAGATTTCTTCAGACCGTTCGAAACTCACACTTCATGTGAAGGCTACATTATGCAGGCTGGCGGTACACCATCCAGGTAGTAGGTGTGAAGATAGTCATCGACGTAAGTCGTTGACCCACAACTAATAACTAACGGTGGTTGCTGTGTGCAGGGTGTGCAGGGCTCCATGCTAACAAGGTCAACCTTCTTTTTTTAGTTTTGTAGTCGGGAACGGACATGGAAGTGACTGGAGGTGGGGGGATGCACTTTCATTCTTGACAGGCTGTGCAGTCAGTGCAAGTGACCAGGCTAACGCACTGATGACACCTCACAGCAAAGACTCAGACTGTCAGACAGTTCAGCAACACTGCCAACACTCAACAGTAGTACTACACTAAGCTGTAAGTAAGTCTTACTTCAGGCCAGTCTGCAGTATGTACGAGTGTGGACTCACATACAGTGCTGCAACTGAAATCCGACCCCCTGGTCGGGGCGCCGCGCCGCCCAGGGGGTCGGATTTCAGTTGCTAGAAGTGTACAATCATGCAGTCATCATAACCATGATAACAATGTTATCATGTCATGTACATGTAGCTGCTACTGTCATGATCATAATGACTGTAGACTGAGTGTAGTAGTACTGAGTCTGTACTAGCAATGACGGTAGCATGATTGTCCATCTACACGATGAACAATAATCGATAATCGTGACGTGATTGCATAACACGTCATATGCATCATATCCCATGATCCAGATATGCATAGGTCATGAGGTGGTACGTAGACGTCTATGGTATGGTTGTCAGGGGCGGATTCAGGATAGGAGGGGTTCCAGGGGTTAGGGGTTCCGTGGAACCCCCTAAATTTCGTAAATGTACTACTGCTGTACTGGTAACCATATCGGCATATAACATATGCTTGTCCATGCCATGTACATGTATCAGCTATTCAATTTTGACTATACTGGAACCCCCTGTAGAGATCGCTGGATCCGCCGCTGGAAGTTACTTGTGACTTTCCCATTTCGTGCATAAGACCTGCTACATAATCATTGTCATTGATATCATTACGAAGGCAGTCCGGCAGGGCAGCACGGCGCCGGTGGTCTACTACACTTGCAAGTACTAGTAGTAGATCTACCATGCAAGTAAATACACATGTATCTGCAGCTTGGTTCACCAAACGTTTATGTACGTCCAAGCCAATGAAATAATAATTGATCACGATTATTTCATGCAGTCCAGGAGCTGGATAGCAGTTACCAAGACGGTAAAGAGTCAGAGGATGTAACCATAATAACACTGGTAGTGGCCAATAGAGGAGCAATGGTAGCCCCCCCCCTCCCCTTGAGATACAGAAGTACATGTAATTGTAAACACCAACAAAGGCACGAGCTTCGGAGAGATACGAGACAGCCTAGCTGCAAGTGGCAAAAGACATGCATCCAGTGGCATCTACAAACAAAACTGACGGTAAAGCAAAGTCTTGCTCGCCCATGATGAGCAGTTTATCAAACCGGACCGGACCGGGGGGGGGGGGGGGGGGGTATCACAACCTGGACGATTGTCACCGGGCAAGTAGCACACCTGGGTAGTGCGTACATCAATGTTGAGTAACATAGTTATCACAAAGTGAAACCATGCCAACTCCGGGTCAGCATAGTTTACTATGTACAAAGACTAAGTGTTCTCGAGAAAACAGGGCCATCATACTAAAGTCTGCTAGAAAGTAAAAATGTGTTCTGGGCGCTATGCTAAAGACTAAGTAATGTAGTATGTCTACTGAAAAGCATTTACAAAAAAAAACAATAAGTACGCAAAAGACGACAAAACTGTGACCTCCATTGAAATCAATTCAATGTAATGAACAGCGTGGTGACCGAGATCAGAGACAGAGAGAGAGAGAGAGAGAGAGAGAGAGAGAGAGAGAGAGAGAGAGAGTGAAAGAAAAAGTGTGTGAGAAAGAGAGAGGAAGTGAGAGAGAGAGAGAGGAAGTGAGAGAAAGAGAGAGAGAAATAGAGTCAGAGATCTACAAATGGCCAATGTACATATGCATGTACAGCGAGTGAAGTGTTTGCTTCAAATTCAGAATATACGCTACCCTTTTTTCTGCTCATGGGTCAACCGAAATAAACAAGACGTTACTCTAAGCTCAGGCTAGTTATAGTCTTCAGGCTATTTGTGAATAGTTGAACAGGACGTGACTAATTTCCATCCAGACACACAAGCCCCCCATCTCCAGAAAAAGTGAGTGCAGAGAAACCTATACCTAGACACGAATATCATGTTGCTAAAATTTGGTGAACGAAAAAAATTGAAAACAACCTGCTCAATTGAACGATATTTAGGTTAAACTCAAAAGATGACAATACTGGTGGAGGTGGATCAAGTGCAGGAGACTCAAGAGAATTCCAACAGATACCCTGTCAAGGAGCAACACTGATTGGTGCAAGACAGACACAACATGAGTTGCACATCCTCGGGCATGTTGAGAATTCGACGACTGCAAACTTGCAGGAAACAATCAAGAAGGCGCTGCTCCACTGAGGCCTTGGTACCAACCACGCACGTCAACGGGGGTGCTTTCATAGCGCTTAATGAACGCATGATGCTTCAACTCACGGAATTTTGGCCTGTTCTCGCGCTCCTTCATCAAACACTGGCTGATGAACGACTGAAAGTCCAACGAGAAGCCTTGGTCACGAGGAAGCTTGGGTGGTTCGTCATCTACGATTCGGCTCAGCACCTCAAACTCATTCTGGACGCCACGGTACGGGTATTCGCCTAAAGCGAGCTCAACCAGCGTGATGCCCATGCTCCAAACGTCAGCACGGATATCATACTGGGATGCGGTATCTGGCATGAAACGCTCCGGCGCCATGTAAGCGGCACAGCCGGCACCGCGAGTGCGCGCCTTGGAGTTCACCAGCCGGCCGCTGATGCCAAAGTCGCAGATCTTGAAGCGGCCCGACTCGGCGTCCAGCAGGATGTTGGACGGCTTGATATCCCGGTGAATGAACTCGTGCGTCTCCTTGAGATAGTCCAGGGCATGTACGACGCATACCGCCACCCTGCCGACTATAGGCTCTGGAACTGGTCGGCGATACTTCTTCATCAGATTCCCCAGGCATGTGCTCATCAGCTCCATGCAGATGTAGACGTCCTGTTGGCTGATGATGGAACCGTACGATTCGACGATGTACGGGCAGTTGTGGTTGATCATGACAAACAGATCCATCAGAACTCGCTTCTGCTCGTCTTCATTGGCGCTACGCATCATGACCTTGCAGGCCATCAGCTTCTTGGATGGCCGGTGCAGCATTTTCAACACGCTACCCGTGGCACCGTGGCCGATCTGCCCGAGTTTATCCATATCCTCGACGTTGGCTCGGTACCGATGGCCGTTAATCGACAGGTAGCGCGTGTACCGCTTCTGCTCATCGATCTGCTGGTCCAGACTGCTGGATGATCCACTGATGCTGCTGCCATCGGGACTTGCATCGCTGCTGCTCAGTCCAGTCAGCCCAGGCGTTATTCCTAACATGTTCAGCGAGCCACCACTAACTGCCCTCCTATGTGTGTGGATCAGGTGACCGCTGGCGGTCTTCTTTCGGGGCTTTGCTGGCGGCGTCATACCCAATTGCTGAGGCGAAGACGGCCCGAGCGCAAACTGCATATTGAGTGACGTTCGTGGCCGCCGTGCCGCGCTAGGTGAATGAGGCGATTGCAGCTGCATTGGCGACGTACATCCCTGCAATTGGCTGCCTTGGACCTGTATCTGATTCGCCAGAATCTGCATCCTATCTCGAATATTCGCATCGCGAGGCTTGCTCGGATCGATGGTGACGCTTTTCCCGTTCGTCGACATTTCCTACGTAAAATGAGTCCACGTCCACGGAGCTAACTCTTGCAGCACTGTCGCTGGGCTGACAATGAACACACAAATAACTCCGATAAATCCGCGTCTTCTCGCTTACCATCCTAATCAAAGACAATGCTCCTTCTCCTCACACAGACTGCTGTTGCAGTTCTCCTTGTAGAACAATACGTCTCTAAGTATAACATAAGCCAACAACAGCGATCGACACGCTCCTATGGCCACCCAGCCAACACTAACGACCGCACTTTGTTCCACGCTGAGATCACTTGATGTCCCCCACACTTGCACTGTTGGGAATAAAAAAAACAATCGTGTCCCTCTGCACAGGCTAGGCTAGCCGGTTCTTTTTGCCTGTGCGTCCAGATGTGACCTGTTTGTGTTACCATAAAACCTGTCAAGGCGACCACTCGGATAAGGCGACCACCTGTCCAAGTCTTGGTCCTTGGTTGAGGACCAAGAACACACAACCGGGACCAAGCGCGCTAGCGCATGGCCGGCCATGGGCCCCATGACTCGAGCTATGGCATGGGCCCATGTGATGCAGTCAAATCACCCCGGATATAGGGAGCCGGAGATCACGGCACGGGGCACGACTGATTGATTCATTTTGAAGGTCCTTGTGACCTTGAGTTGAGACTTGATGATGAGTGGCTTGACTCGGCTTGAGCGCCGATGAGCGGTTGTCTGCATAGTACTTTAGTAGATCTACTAACTACACAATCATGTACTACACTCTACAGCCTACACTACAGACATGACAGTACAGGTACAAGTCTGAAGTAGCCTGTGTAGAGTACTGTAGAGTAGAGCTAGTACTACTAGTACAGTGCGTATCGGTTATAGCGTGGTCGTGTAAAAGAATATACTGCCAACAAGAATGAACGCTCATGTTTTCATAATCATAACATGGATTTCAAGTGCACATTTATTCTTACAAGCAATTTTATCTCATAGTAGAATATATCGGTCCTAAGAATGGGCTTTGTGTCGCGAAACATGCCTGATTAGTACAAAGTGTATCGCCTGTAGTAATTACATCTGTCCATTTCCGTTCTGATCTGACTCTCGTTGCGTCGTAGTGCTGCAGATTCAACTGTTGTGGTCATGTAACTCATGTTGCATAGCCACATGGTAAGCCTATGGGACTATGACCAGCCACATGCACAAAAGTACTGCGTTGCATGTACGATGATCTTCCTGCCCATGCGCACATGGATATGATATGCCACACTTGATTTATCGTGTGTAAGAAATATCGGAAATAAGAATAGAAAGTCGTTTTTCAAACACCCACGCTATAACCGATACCTACTGTAGTAGTAGGAATAGTACCAAGGCAAGAGTGTCCCTACTCATAGTAGTACTAGTAGTCTATACCATGTTTAGTTTTATTGTTCACCAAGACTCGCGAGAGTACATCGTTCAGGCGTTCACTCGCTCTACATCATGCATCGTCTTTTTCGTGTTTTTCATGTTTCGGGGGTGATCGTGCACGCGTGACGTGTCGATATCCCATCGATGCATCGTACATGTACGTGTACATCATATCACCGCGTACTGCGTAGATCTACCGCGTAGACCTACCGGTACGCTACTACCATGACTACGCGGTGCATGCATGCACCGGCAACGCGGCTTTGCATTGTAAAATTTTGATTCCTGGTTTGGCAAAGATGATGAAGTCTTGATTGAAGATGTTTTAGGATTTTGATCACTGCAAGTCAGTTAGTCTGGCCAAAAAGCTGATTCTATCAGACCATCCTGCACTACTGGTTGTAGCTTTTTATTCACGTCGGAACTGATGATTGCTAACTTCTAGGTCCTACTAGTAATTCCAATCTCTTCCTGGAGCTTGGCTTTCGTGGAGATCTGCAATGTCTTATCATTTCACATCCGAACCTGTGGAAGATCAAATCGTCACCGATACGACCAATTTAAATCGTTTCGAGGATGAGGTAAAGTGGTGATATATTGGACCGATATTTGCTATTTGTTTTGAACACACAGAGAGTTGTTAATATACCGTAGGACAATATTTACACCAGGCAGAACAACAGAGACCAAAAAGCTTTCTCGTTACTCCGAGTTTCGTGTTCAAAAAACACTCATCAGACGGGACAATATTTATATTTTTTTCACTGGGAGTTGAATTGGAAGTTGAAAAGCTTCTTATTCAAGTATATTTCTTGAAATTTTATGAATAGCATCAAGAATCCAGTCCATAAACATTTGATAACATGGGCAGTGGAGCATTTTGACAAGGGACTGTCCAATGTCGCGAATCCACAATGTGAAATTGCAAGGAAGTGATTGAAGCCCTTTTTTAAGTCCTGGGTGGTGATGAATGGTCACGGATAAAATTCTGGCTAGTGCTATTTCTGATTACGCTGTATCTGGACTGTCGACGTCCTATCCAAGCCTGTTGATAGTACTGCTCAGGACAGTGTTATGTTACATGTACTGTACATGCTAATTATCAGTCTTCCATGATGTCGGCCCCTGGTCCGTGGGAGAGGGGATGGCGTTCGTGGTGTTGCTGTTGTTGTTGTTGTTGTGGTTGTTGTTGTTGTTGTTGTTGTTAATCCTTTTCTTTGTTGCTTTTTTGTTGTTGATTGAATTAGGCCTTCCAGCAGCTCATGACATTGATATTTGAATTCCTTGTGGACCCACAGCAGGTAAAGTGTGGTGTGTAGGTGGATGGCTTTCAGATGCTACTTGCGAGAGCAGGCATCCTTACTTGGTATAGGTCCACGTTGGGTCGCTCATTTTGGAGCAGACGTCTGTACCCACGCCGTGCTTGTTTGCAAGCCATTTGGGTGGTGGATGGCGAGACTTCACACATCCTATGGTTGTAGCAACTTTTTAAATTTTTAGTAGTACAATGCATTTGAATCGTTAGGTCTCATCGCGTGCATAGTGCTTTGTCCTAATTCACTTCATTGTTTTATGCCATTGCATTCATAACGTTACACTGACAATGCTTTTGGTTTGACTCTCATATTCGTCGTGCTGATGGTATGCGCTCATACAAGCATTTTTTGGGTTGTCTTTTATTACCTTCAGGCATCACAGCTGATTACGCAGCTGGAGAGCTTCGCAGCAGAGCAGGGTGTTGGAGCCGGTGCACTGAAGAATGTCGTACGCAGCGTTGTTTTCATATCCTCTTGTTACGTTGTTATATTTTCCCGTCCGCAGACGCTGTTAGCCGCACTTGACATAGCTTGGTGTGCACAGATGCATTAGCCGTTGCTCTGGTGATCTGGAATGCTTACAGGAGATGGCTGCTGTGAGCATCGCAACATGTCGCACAGATTCCTGTAGGGCCTTTGTACGTTGAACAGCTAGAGAGTGAATGTAGTGAGGAAGCAGTATGATTGTGTTTTAATACTACTATGTATTGTAGGAATGTGTTATACAGACTTGGTGGTGGTGTGCTGTTATCCTTGACCGTAATTGGTATGCACGTCTTCAAATGCGCTCTGAAGAAGAGTGTGACTCCTGCCCATCTACGCAGCGACCTTGCATTACTTGGTAAGCAAACCGTTTGCATGCACGCAAAGCTGCAGGTATTTTGATTACTACCCAAGTGACTGCCACAACGATGCCTTGGATGCGGACATATGGAGATGCTGACTCCCGAATAAGTGCTTTTCTAGCAGAAGTTGAAGATATTGCATTCTTTTGTGTTTGTTTATGCACAGGTCTATCTGGTGAGAAAGCTGATCATATAGCTGAGCTGGTAAGGGCATGGCATGTATAGCTTTCTATAAAATACTTTAAAGAAGTATGGTAATACTATCAATAGAGGTCATGGGATTACATCATCACTTGAGATGCTTTGGCGAAGTTGTGGTTTCGCGACACAGTGCTGCACTTGCACTAGCGACTCGTGCTGCATACAAAGCGCCCGTATGTGGGTCCGCTGGCTCACCCTACGAAATCTGTTGCATACCGGTGATCTCTATAGAAACTTTCTTGATCTGCGTACCTTTGCCGTTCATTTTTGGATTTGATGTTGATCGGAATAGGTGCGTGGGCCTTGTAGTTCTTACAGATGAAGTTTAGGCTATCTTTGAATGGGGCTTAGGGGCCGTCCGGGGTTACCGATTGTTTTTACAAAACGAAAAGTTTTAGTATTTTTCAGCCCCCACCCACCCACCCACCTTTTCTGCAGGTGAAACGAATTTCAATAAAATATTGATGTCAATTTTCGACACCCAGAAGTAACTGGGCATTCTCCATCAGCATTCAATAATTATTTTCAAAACGAAACTCCATCAAACCCACCCACCCACAAACGAAAACATTTCGTTTTGAAAATATTATTGGTAACCTTGGACAGCCCCTTATGCATAATTAATACTTCCGCCATGTGATCTTGAGGGGCAAGTCCACTAAAACGGTACACACTGTGATACCAATCCTGCATCAAAGGTCATAAACTACATAAACCCCATTCGCTTCCATATCTTCAAGTGTTTCGTGATGACAGCCACAGCACCGCTCTAGGGCTGTAGTGTCACCATTGGCTGTCGATAGTGACTACTGTATGCGTATTACAGGTGTGTTGATACTAATAATGATAGTGTGTCTTTGCCACCTTGCCGTGTGACATCTCTCCGCAGTGGAAGTCCAACCTGGTGGGTCTGTCACGCACGGCAGTGTCGCAGACGCTCAACGTCAATCAGCTGGTCGACATGGAGTGGCGCTTTGGTGGTAAGTGCGGCGATCAGTGGTAGCAGCACGCGTGATAGTGGCAGTGGCATCGCGAGTGTGGGCCAGAGCGTGAGGCCGGCCGGCAGTCCACTACAGTCCGTTTCAAAAAGATTTACAATCCTGGCGATCGCCCGCGGAGTTTGGCGTCTTACCGTATGAGCACTCGAGCGCTGCCTGGAAAAACTCACTGTGAACTCGAAGAAATATTCCGCGCGAAAGCAGGAAAAATGACAACTCACTCACGTTGACACAGTCAGGTACGTCTGGTTTACAACAAACGAGTTCTTCCTCGTATCGACAATGGATTCGGAGGACATGTCGAAACGAAAGTGTTGTAAATGTTGACGAGCTGCATGGGTCCGTTTTGTGACCAAAATAGTTTCTTTGAGCTGCGATTCAATTTACTCACCGTGTGACGAAAACGACATCGACACGGACTCATTCCCAAGGCCATGACTTGGCAAAGCTATCCGTGTGACTTCGACGACATTTTGAGAAAAGCAGACGCTTGTGAACGCTGATAGAAAACGGCGTTGACTGCTAAATTCAAATAAATTGGCGATCTTGAAATACTAAAATATATCTCAAAAAGCTACAGCGCGATGACTTCCATTATAATTCACTCACACCATTGCAGTGTTGTGGGTGTGTTCACATGGCGTGAGCCAGTCAAGTGTCAGTCAGTTCGGCAGGAAGCGCGAGCTCCAACAACAAGTCGTTTGGTGTAGCCATCTTCTTTATCTTGTACCAGCTTGATCACCAAAACAATGAAAAAAAAGTTTGACTTGAGGATAGGTTGGGATTTGAACTCATAACTTCATGGTCAGCAGACAGCATTTATAACCACAAGGCCAAAAAGGAAAGGATAAATCGTGGGTTTTGATAAAAAATCGATACTGGCTTCCTGGGCAAATTGTAAACCATGGGAAAAGGCCGGAAACCTGGCCGAAATTCTAACTCCTTAACGGTTGGTCCAATTGTTCCGAAACCTTCACAGAACAATTTGCCGTGTCCTAACAAGCCATTCTATGTACTTTGTTGTCCAAATTTCCCTTATCTTCATACTTTTTAAGACCCAAACCTGATTGTAAATCTTTTTGAAACAGACTATAGCTTGTTTACTTGCGTGATATTGGTTTGGACTTTGTAGAGCAGTACGGAGTGTATGCACGTGTACATGAACATGGCACTGGATGCTAGACATGGCTTGCATACTGAGTTTGAGTTTGGCGTGCATGCCTCGGTTCAATAATCTGGTGTCTCCTACCACCACATGTCTTTCTTAGTACAATATGTGTACCCAAATCGGACTACTAGTCTCTTTTGTACTGATTCATTATGCAGTTCTATCTGGTTATTTTAGCTGTCTCTTCCCACTGCTTCATGCTATGTTGATTGCTTGATTGTTTTGTGTTTTGTTATGAACATATGATGTGTTTGATCATCCAGTGACCGCGGGCAGCAGTGATCTACGCAAAGTTGGCAGTACCTTCCTACAGGTGAGCAGTGCGGTAATGGAATACAGTCAACTTCGCTTATAACGACACTCGTTATACACTCGGCAGGGCATCAAAAAGGTGTCCTTATTCGCGAAGTGTCGTTATACTCGAAGTCTCATTATATGTATTACAGTGGGATGGGACTTTGCTCTGGGCATGGAAATTCTGTCGTTATTCGCGAATTGTTATATCCGCAGTCGTTATTAGCGAAGTTGACTGAAGTTGTGTGGGTGTTTTTTGTTTGTTTGCATACGGTGTTGAAGCCTCGCATGCTTATTTGCAGCTGGTGTCTGGCAGGGCGCTGTCCCAGGCAGACAGGGATGCTGGGCTTGAATCTCACATGTTGCACCTTCATTTACAATACATCACTGTTGTCATGGTAACAATACCACCTCTTTCAGTTTGGGACATTTGGTCAGAAAAAATTGTTTTGCCTGGTGTGCTTCATCTTCTACAGTATCACCCTCATTATTGTTAATTTAAAAATTTGCTCTTTTATACTGTTGTAGAGGGTTTGGGGGTATATCGTGGGTTACACCTGGTTGCCATGCCAACTCCGGAACATTTTATTTCCCCAGTTTTCCTTCGTCTTTGTCTTTTCTGTTGCAATTCTTGCATTCATGGTCTGTTTAGACTTGGATAGTGATCAGTTGGTTTCTTGATTCGTTACCATGGCAACTCAGACTGTCTGGGTGCAAGGGCATGCGGCGTTTATGTAGTATTTCTAAGTTGGGCGTACTGGGTTATCTTATTATTGTCTGCCACTGTAATGAAGTTTGTTTTGAGAATCTTTGTGTGTGTTTGGACCATTGAAATTTCCATGATGAAATACACTGGATGTAGCTTTGGTACAATTTGCAAAGCCTTTCCAAGAATAATCAGCTTTGCGCAGTGGTAGTACCATAGCCAATGAGGTCCAACCGAGGCGTGGTTATTGCTAGTTGAAAACTTTTCCCAATATCCCGCATTGACGACTTGAAATATAGTCGGCTTTGCAATTTTTGAAGGCTCATCCGTGAGCCAAACATATTGAAATCAAAGGAAGAAGTAAATCATTTGTGTAGAGGGCGATGTATGTGGCCTAATTATATTTACTTCTTCTGACATTGTGCATTACACACAGGCGCAGATTTTCAGGTAGTGGATATGTTCGAGCGAATCAAACGTTCATAACTTCGTTTACCGTACTGGCAATATATGTTGCCGCAGTGAGGCCATGAAGCGTTACATTGGCACATGTTTGCCGCACGCAGGGCGTTACATGCAAAGTCGCACAGGAGCCGTCACACAGGTTTCTATATTGCCGCAGTCCTTTTTTTGCTATTGCCGCATCACTTTTTTGCTATTGCCGCATCATTTTTTTGCTTTTGCCGCATCATTTTTTCTTTTCATCCACATTGAAGGCACAGAAATTCAGTTGCTATCCAACTGTTACAAACCCGACGGCAAAGGGCGACAACGATATCAATAGAAGACTGTATATTTTAACTATCAGAGTGATCTGTTCACAAAAAGATCATCAAAAGGAAAGTGACATAGGGGAAGAGCGAGTACGCGAGTGTCAGGAATTCCTGCTGCGTCCAGTTTTGAACTTTTCACCACGCGGTACACGTGCTTTCACAGTTTTCAGCCTTTTTTTTGCAGTGCAAACTGCAATGAAAAGATCGCCGCACCGCGCCGGACGCGCGTTACGAACTCAACGAAAATTTGTCGCACTAGCCTGGTCGCGCGTTACGCCGCACCCCCCTGCGTTACGCGTTACGCGGCAACATATATTGCCAGTACGGTACTACAGTCCATTCAGAAAAAGATGAGTGCTGGCTCTGGAGAGCTCCCGTGTTTGGCGATTTTGTGGTACACTGTGCAGTGCCGCGCGATTCGAAACTTGAAAAAGGGTCCAAAAAGGCACCTCAACTGGGGTTCGAACCGCAAATGTACCGTTATGCAAGTGGAGTGAACGGCCTGGATTTTCATGATTTTTAGTAACTTTTTACCCAATTCAGTGCTTTGGGGACAAAACCTGGCCGAAATCCGAGGGCGCGTTTGGTTGGTACGAACTAGAACAGGATTCACCAGAACAGCGCGTTTGGTTGGGACTGCACCTGTTCTGGGTCGCCCAGAACATGTTCTGCTTGCTCCGGCCTCAAGGCCGGAGCAGACCGAGCAGTTTCACTTTTTCACAGTGAAACCTGGCGGGAACATCGATTTTGGTCCCAAATGATCACGTGCATGCGCTTTGGGGTTAGACTCGTCATACCGTACACAGTGACCATGGTGACCCATACACATTTTGAAGAATGCACCAAGTTTGGCATATTTTTCACAAAAATATGCTCTGGTTTTGGAGTACCGTTTGGTTGGCATGAGGCTGCTCCATGTGCACCAGCTGTTCGATCCTGTTCTAGATTGTACCAACCAAACACACCCCTATTCTTGTTATGGCTTGCTTTCTGGAGAAATAGACTTCAAAAACACAATTGGAAGAGCTTTCCAGGGGGGGGGGGGGGGGTTGCCAAAATAATTGTGACGAAAACTCAAAATTTGACCCGTTTATGGCCAAAAGCAAGAATATAATCTTTTTCTGAATGGACTGTAGGTTCGAGCGATCAAACTACAGGCTATGTATGTAGGCCGAAAAGAAAACTTACAGCTTCCGATTGGAACAATAGACCAATCCCGAAAAGATCGTCTGGGTTCGAAAAGGGGAATGTCAACCGAGAGTACACTGTACACCACATCCACATGGCACTACCTGAACGGCATGCTTTACAGGATGCGTTTGACTGTTCGGGTATGAATGCAGGGGTTAGTACACACTTTTTCCGTTAGTTGTATGCAAGAGAGACAATCCGAAAGAAAGCAAAGCAAAGTGTTGGTTTTCTCTCTGGCACTGGAAGGACGCGCTTCCAGCTCTTTGTGATTACCCAGACGGATAGCTTTAGAGTGGCGCTTCATTCCCGTTCCTACTGTCTTATCCTTGAACGAACGAAGCGCTGCAGCCCGCTCTTTGATGGCGCCACAATGCGGGTATTCCCCTAACGCTTCTAAAGATTCCCCTTACCCCACTAATGATGGCGCTACGGTGCGGATATTCCCCTAGCGCTACTGCTGAATTACTTCAAAGCACTAGCAGCTACCATTCATTGTGTTCAGTATGAACCATGCTTGGTTCTCCACCACCAAGGTGTTTCTGCTGGCATCCAAGAGCCTAAGTCATACACACAAGTTGCATGGTCTTGTTAGCTCGGTACTCATGCTTGTTTTGGTGTGTTATCTGCCACTTGCTTTCTCTCAGGTGAAACTTGTAGTTGACAGAGGAACGAACACTGAGAATATCTTCATGGGTAAGTGGTGTCGTGTTGACTGCTGACCCAGCCAGAAGTCCACTACTGGTCACAGGGTTGATTCAATAACCTACACTGAAGTTGTGACTGAACCTATAACTTACAGGATTGCCGTCTTTACGGACTACACTGCGGCGGACTACTACTGAAGTACCGTATTATCTCTAATATAAGCACAGTCTCCAATAATAGCACGTCTCCAATAATAGAACACCTTGGGGCGGCATTCAAAAAATAAAGTGCTCAGTCTCCATTATAAGCACACTGTGTAAATTCATTATCTGTACCGCGAAAAAACCCTGAAATGTGTTTGTCTGACATGAATTTGGCATGGCAACAAGCCTCTGAAATGAGGTTGAAATAATAATGGAACAGTCTCCAATAAAGGAACGTCTCCAATAATAGCACGGGGCGGAGCTACATTGAAAAAATAAAGGACCGTGCTTATATTAGAGATAATACGGTACACTAGTCAGTGCTAGTGGTCACATGTGAAATTCGACCTGTGTGATGTGGTACTTGAGTGTAGCACCAGTAGTACTGTGATGGCATTGATATGTATGGTGTGGCACAGCAGCTCTAGTGCTCTAGTGCTGTTTTCCCACTCTAAACTACAGTCCATTTCAAAAAAGATTTGCAATCCTGGCGATCACCCGGAGAGTTTGCCGTCTTACCGTATGCGCGCTCGAGAGCTGGCTGGAAAAACTCACTGTGAACTCGAAGAAATAATCCGCGCGAAAGCATGAAAAATGACAACTCACTCACGTCGCGTCGGTACATGTATGTCTGGTTTACAACAAACGAGTTCTTCCTCGTATCGATATGGAGTCAGAGAGGACATGTCGAAAGTGTGGTAAATGTTGACGAGCGGGATGGGCCCCAATTCGTTTCGTGCCCAATTTCTTTGAGCTGCGATGGAATTATTTACTCTCACGATGTGACGAAAACGACATCGGCACAGACTCATTCCCAAGGCAAAGCTATCCATGTGACTTCAACGACATTTTGAGAAAAGCAGAGGCCTATGAAAGCTGATAGAAGACGGTGATGCCTCCTAAATTCAAATAAATTGGCGATCTTGAAATACTAAAATATTGCTCAAAAAAGAAATCGATCGATCGATGTGCCGTTGTATTCAACAACACGTAGCTACAGCGCAATGACTTCCGTGTTCACTCACACCGTTTCAGTGTCGTGGGTGTGTTCACATGGCGTGAACCAGCCAAGTGTCAGCAAGTAAAAGTTCGGCAGGAAACGCGAGCTCCAACAACAATACAATAAGTCGCAGCCACCTTCTTTGGCTTGTACTTTTTGTAGATCTACCAGCGTGATCACCAAAACAATGAAAAAAGGTTTGACTTGAAGATAGTTTGGGATTTGAACTCACAACTTCATGGTCAGCAGACAGCATTCATAACCACAGGCCAAAAGGAAAGGATAAATCGTGGGTTTTGATAAAAAATCGATACCGGCTTACAGGGCAAATTGTAAACCATGGGAAAAGGCCTGAAACCTGGCCGAAATTCTAACTCCTTAACCCTTTGCATGCCGGCCTGTTTTCCACAGTAATCTGGCACTCCAGAGTACAGACTCTCCTGGTGGAGTTTGGGTGCACTGTTCGGAACCAAATTTATTCTCATTTCAGTTCACCTGGATGGAATTTCCTCATCCTGGGCTTGTTGGAAAGATCAGGATCAAGCGAATCCATCCTGGAAGCTCTCAGCTCCACAGCTCCACCAGGGCCACTTCCATGATCTCTCCAAACTGGCCCACCATGCCTCGGAACGAAACAACAACTCAGTCACAAATTCTTTTTCGGCTCCTTGCTCAAATTCAACCGATTTTCACGATTCAAACTGCTCTGCAAAGCTGAGATCCACGCGCTCCATTTGATGTCCATAACGCATGCGCAGGGCAAAAGGGAAATCCCCTGACACGCTCCAAAAAACTGCGAAGTCACGAACAAAAAAATTCGCGATCACTCCAGCCCGTGATTTCCGTGTTCATTTTGTCGCCGCTCAGTGAATCTTTATCCTATCGCGAAGAACCTTGTATCTCTGGAAAGCTGAGCTCAATACCTCTCCAACGGTGTATCGTATGTGGAGATCGGATACTCTTTCACAGAGTAACGCAACTTTGTACACTGGTCTATTCACCACGTACACGACGCAAACCGAAGCGCGTGTATACAGGTCCTCAGAGAACCGGCATGGGGTTCAGGCGCGTGTATACACGTCATCCGCACGCAAAGGGTTAACGGCTAGTCCAATTGTTTCGAAACCTTCACAGAACAATTTGCCGTGACCTAACAAGCCATTCTATGTACTTTGTTGTCCAAATTTCACTTATCTTCATACTTTTTAAGACCAAAACCTGATTGTAAATCTTTTTGAAATTGACTGCAGCCCTGCTCTGGTGCTGTTTTCCCACTCTAAACTAGCCCTGCTCTGGTGCTGGTTTGCCACTCTAAACTAGCCCTGCTCTGGTGCTGGCTTGCCACTCTAAACTAGCCCTGCTCTGGTGCTGGTTTGCCTCTCTAAACTAGCCCTGCTCTGGTGCTGGCTTGCCACTCTAAACTAGCCCTGCTCTGGTGCTGGTTTGCCACTCTAAACTAGCCCTGCTCTGGTGCTGTTTTCCCACTCTAAACTAGCCCTGCTCTGGTGCTGGTTTGCCTCTCTAAACTAGCCCTGCTCTGGTGCTGGTTTGCCACTCTAAACTAGCCCTGCTCTGGTGCTGGTCTGCCACTCTAAACTAGCCCTGCTCTGGTGCTGGTTTGCCACTCAATACGAATATGCCATTCACTCCCAGTACAAAGTAGCACTGGTTTCCGCCCCCAGCAATGCATACAGAGTGTCTGTGATGAGATGACCTCATTGGCATCGCGTCTAGGGTGTGTGTCACCTGGTGCATGCGCCTGCCATACACCATTCTTTATGTGAACACGGTATCACTCCCCCGCGCGTTCTGCCCATCATTGCCGCGAGGTAGAGAATACTGGCGATGGCTGGATGCTGGGGCACCTATCGTAGGGTATGCCACATTGTAGTGAATGAAGGGGAAAACGGTACATGAAGTAGATGTAGAAGGAGATGTCCAAGGAATACAGACCGCCCTGCCCACACACAAGGAATTGTGTGTAGAGTGAAGTCTTCTGCGCAACACACAAGGAATACAGACCGCCCTGCCCTTCATTGTATGTAGAGTGAAATCTTCTGTAAAGTCAATCCATGCTAAATGTTGTGCTTCGGGGATTGCTTGTGTGTTGGTATGGTCGTTTGGCCCGTGTGCTCCGTTCTGTACAGAGCTGACCCTTCCGCAATTCTACAATTTCTTACACGAGATGGAGAAGGCACGGGCGACACTGGACTATTTCAGCTAAGCAGTGCCATGTTGTTGACCTTTTTTTGAAACGTGCGAAAACTGTCTTGTTGATGAGGCGCGGTTTTGTTTTTGGTCATTGCCAATTACGTTCGCTCCGGCTCCAGTGATACCCCTCTGTGATAGATGGCCTAGTGCCATGTACTTGGTTGTGTGTGTGTATGTGTGTGTGTGTGTGTGTGTGTGCGTGTGTGCGTGTGTGCGTCCGTCAATATGACAATTGTATCTGTTACCCAAGGTAGTTATGCGTGGCAGGCCCGTTTTTTCTCCTTCCGCTCTCTGATACTGGTGATCATAGAGCTGAATTATTAAAACCTTTTCTTTATAATGTACTATTGATCTCAAGCATAAAACATCACAAACCGCCACTTGTTTCACCGAACGGAGGAGTATCTTGGTATTATTTTTGAAGTACATTACTGGTATGTAAAATTGTTGTTGAAGATTGATTCTTATTGTCGGCAAAGCATTTATGGTTTTTTATTCTCCTTCAAGCATGGTATGAGTGTGCTCAAGAACTGTGATAGTAATCAGGGTTTCTTCATACCTCAGACAGAACGTGTGTTTGTTGGAAAAGTGCATTGCGGTGGGTGATGGGACTTCCTGTTTTAATAGGCACTCCTCTTTTACAAGAATGTACAGCTGGCACTTACAGTGCTGCAGGCAGTGCAGCTATAGCCAACCATGCATGCCTTGTAGAGGTTAGCCTTAAAGGGGAAGTATACCCTAAAATCAAATTTTCACCAGTTGTAGTCTTCGGGGTGCTGAGTCGAATGGTCTTGGTCCGAGGAAGCTGCGACGCTCCCTTCCTACTTGAATCCCAATCGAACTCGCGCACTTCCACCGAAACTGGGTGACTGCGCCCTACTAGATGGGGATTTGTATGCAAAATGTCACTAAAAGCGCCATTTCGTTCTTATAAAAGCACGGATGACCGCGATTGGCCCATATGTTGTAGTCTTTTGGACGCTGAGTCGACTGGTTTTGGTCCGAAAAGGCTGCGATGCAGCGTTCCTCCTTTATTCCCAATCGAACATGGTTGAAGAAGCGGTCACGTGCTCCTGGGTGCCCAAATCACCTGGTCACCACGCCAGCAGGCGACAACTTTCACACCAAGGTTCAACTCGAGTTCAACTCGAGTGACAGGACTGCACCCAAAAAAGGTCAAACAGGCTAGTAAGTTGTACCCTGCAGGCACGGTGACCAGGTGACTGGTGTACGCAGGAGCACGTGACCGCTTGTTCAACCATGTTCGATTGGGAATAAAGGAGGAACGCTGCATCGCAGCCTTTTCGGACCAAAACCAGTCGACTCAGCGTCCAAAAGACTACAACATATGGGCCAATCGCGGTCATCCGTGCTTTTATAAGAACGAAATGGCGCTTTTAGTGACATTTTGCATACAAATCCCCATCTAGTAGGGCGCAGTCACCCAGTTTCGGTGGAAGTGCGCGAGTTCGATTGGGATTCAAGTAGGAAGGGAGCGCCTCAGCTTCCTCGGACCAAGACCATTCGACTCAGCATCCCGAAGACTACAACTGGTGAAAATTTGATTTTAGGGTATACTTCCCCTTTAAAACGAAACAAAACGAAACAAAACACCAATGCCCTTGGTGTATGTGATTGCATGTATTGCCAAACCTAGTCTTCACAGTTCGCTGAGTGCAAAGTGAACATGGCTGAATTATATTTCGGTAGAGGCTCAGGCTGCGGCTCCCATCTTTCCACGGGTGAAGAGCGAAATCTTATTTTTTGGCGGCCTGAATTTCTCTGGACGAATGATCGCTTGTATAGTATTTTTTTACTGAACGACTAATTCGCTATTCCGTATGTTGATCAAATAAATTCGAATAATCAACAATTTGTCACGTCCCATCTTTATGCACTTTATGCACTGCTATCTGCATGTGGGCATTCTACATGTTTCCACACTCCGGGGTGGAACTGTTCTTGCCGGGGAAACCAAACTGTAGGTGGTTGCATGCTTCAGCTGTACTGTAGCATGCATCTTAGGGTGACGAAGAGTGCATTGCCTTCCATCAGTATAATTATTGTCTTGTACAAGTACAGTACGATCGGGTGCCAAAGAAACCTCGCCGAAAAATGCTTAGACTGGAGAATGGAACAATTAAAAATAAAGAACAATTCTGACTAGATTTTCAGATTTAAGAACGTGTGTACGCTTCTCTACATCTTTCTACATGCTCGATGCTCTTCAAGATCGCGGAATAAGAACGAAATAACATTTGAGCATTTTAGAGCGATGCTAGGCTGCACCTTGAACCCCTGCGTTCTTCGCCGCCCAGTCTTTCTGCGTGTGCGCACAAGCACTGTCCTTCGCAGCAGCAGGGAGTAGCACAATAGTACAGTGAAACCTGTAACTAAAGACCACCGTGACTAGCGACCAGCCTGCTACTACAGACCACTTCGCCGGGCACGGTCGGTCTCACACTCATACCGTACGCGCGCGAATACAAGCCCCCCTTCGAATAGAGCCCGTCCCTCAGAGGCATTCGAAGTAATACAGCCCCGTCTCGAATAAAAACCCGGGGCTCTAATCCAGCGCCCACAGTCCGTACGTTGTAGTGCAGTACATGAACCATGTACGGTATGCACGATCAACACAGTGTGCTTTGCGGATCACTAGATCCATATTGGAGGTACGGGATCTCTCTGGCCCTCTGGGGTCAACGTAGAGACATGCAAAAATGGGAACACACTGCGCCAGAGGTTACCTTACGGTTTCTTTATCTGCTGCACAAGAATGATTCTTCCCTCACCTTGTGCAATCATCTTGAAAGGTGTGAAAAATTGATGTTTCTATTGAAAAAATAAAGCCCCCTCTCGAATAGAGCCCCCTCTCAAATACAGCCCCCCCCCCCCCCCCTCTGGGTGTCTTCTGGAAAATAGAGCCCCGGGGCTTCTATTCGCGTCTATACGGTATATGGTGGTGCGGTGCAAACCTCTAACTAAGGACCGCCTGTCACTAAAGATCGCTTTCTCTGGCCCCAAGGGGTGGTCTTTAGTCACAGGTTTTACTGGATTAATATATACTTTTGAAGTAGTATTGGACTACTCCCTGCTTCACAGTGTCTCCTCTGGCAGCCTTGCTGTACCACGTCCATGGTACCGGTACTGAACGGTCTCGTGCGTGGAAATTGCAGGAGTGTGGCTTGTAGACTGCTCGATCATTGTGAATGTCTGAGAAGTCCTCGTATGGTATGTAGCTGGGGTTGTGTTGTGTGAGCTTGACTAATTTAGTAATTTCACTAATGTATATTGGTGTTCAACTGTCGTTTTGAGGCGCTGTTCGAAAGCCGTACTTTGGTATAATGTGAGAATCATGTATGGCTATCGCCATAGATAGCTAGATAAGATTAGTCCAATCAGGGAGTAGTAAAATCCCTGTATTTTACTACTCCCTGGTCCAACTACTACAGTACTTGGTACTTGCAAGTCTGGCGACGGTCATGCAGTACTGTTGGAGATTGCCAGAGCTAGTATCATGTATTGTGCGGTGGCAATCCAATCTTCACTGACTACTGCACACTGTACCCAGTATACACACACTGTACACTGTGTATTGTACCAAGTACAGGCACTTGAAAACGACTTCAGGAATGCTATGTCACACTTCTGTGGCAACCAATATCCACCAGGCAATGAATACATAAAATGAGTGGCTTTCTGTCGGATGCGACACAGTCAATGGAGAATACCTATTGAACTGAGGTGTCATGTAAGTAATACTAAGTAGAATGATTGTGCTAGTAACCTGGAAACTGTCAACACCAGGGTAGAGTTGAATGTCCATTTAGTCTCATACATACTGGTACCTATTCTGAGAAAGAGGAAGTTAGTTGAGGAACATTCGCAGTGAAACGTGTGCACAATCCGCCGTTACATGGTGTTTTTGTTTTGTTTTAAAGCAAGGTGCACTACGTTTTGTTGTTGTTGTTTCAAATCTTTATTCTCACAATGGCCTGTGACCATAGCAGTGATCCAACTAGATGTACGGGTGAGCGTGGCTCGTGCATGAGCAGATTGAATTTAGCAGCAGAGTTGATATATTAAGCTGTTGTTGTTGTTGTTGTTGTTGTTGTTGTTGTTGTTGTTGTTGTTGTCGTTGTTGTTGTTGTTTCAAATCTTTGTTCTCACGATAGCCAGTGGACAATAAGAGATGTTGTTGTTGTTGTTGTTGTTGTTGTTGTTGTTGTTGTTGTTGTTGTTGTTGTTGTTGTTGTTGTTGTTGTTGTCCCTGGTTTTTAGTGTTACGACGGCGCGTTGCACTTGTTTTCGGTCAGTGGTGATGTTCGGCACCCGTGCTTTCAGTGCCCACCCAGTTTCATCAAAACTCCAATACAGGTCTATTCCGCATCGTCAGCACCGAAAGTGTAGATGCCACCGAAACAAAGTCACACAGTGGTACAGGACGTGTGCTCTACATGTATGCACTACATTATACAGTCGACTCCTGACATAGCGAACACCATTATGCTGGAGTGATTAGTTCTTTATACCAGTAGTAGCCGAAGTGCGTTCTAACAGAAATGCACTCACGATAACGTTACAAACAACACGTCGTCATGACTGGCATATGGCCCATGGCTGTACTATTGATCATATGAGTTGAACGAAAGCAGTGTGTTGCAAAGGGTCAGTTTTGCATGGATTCGAACAGGGACGTCATGGACAATGGTTCGCTATAATTATCGCGAAAGTCTTTGCAATTATACGAGCTCATTATCAGTGCAGTGGACTGCTAACTCTACTCCTAGTAGAGAGTACTCCTGTACACTCAATGACTCATGCTATGTGTTATCAACACTTATCATGGTTTAATATGGACAGCTAGTAACGCTTGCACTAAAAGTAAAAGAGCCCTTATCCTTGTGCTAAATGATTGAACCTTATGCAACTTCATTCTGCCTCTGCCCCTGCTCACATGCGGGCGCAGCACTGAGCAATCATCACTCCACTTCTGCCCCCCCCCCCACACACAGACATACGCATGCACACGTCACAAGCACATACACACACACACACACACACACACACACACACACACACACACACTTGCACACGCATGCACACCGCGCATGTGTCACACAGACGCACGCACACAGACGCACGCACACAGACGTACATACAGTCAGTTTGCGCATGTTCACATGCGTACCTTCAGGCTTCATATGTGCTAGCCGATGATTCTGGCCCTGCAGTACCTTACGTCCTAAGTCCTTACCTGGGGCTTTGAACAACAATGTTTACAATACGTAAAGGCTGTCCACATTATCTTCTACTACTGGTAGTGGAACGCTACAGACACCAAACCACTGCACACACAGCACTGTACTGTACAGCCTACACTACAGTACAGACTACAGTACAGACTACAGTACAGACTACAGGGACTTGTGTTTGGGAAGATCAAGTCTTTTCGAGCTGATTGAACAAGGAACCTGTGTAAACTCGGCCCCGACGTCGCTCCCAGGGCCACGGCTGCACACCCGCGGTCCCATCCCGTGGAGAAGCGCTTCCGTCTTCTCATGATGAAGCAACACTACTACTAGTCACTACCAACACGTCGTTGGTTTCTGTCAGTCATTTTTAGACACGTGCAGCAGTGCACTAGTGAATGCATGCATGCGATATATGCAGTCTGTGAGTGTGAGCTTGAGCTCATGTCATGATTGTGAATGCGTTTGCACGATGATTATGACTTGTGTTGAACTACACGATAAACCCTGCGTGAAGTACCCCAGACCAGGGAGCCCTACACATACCGGTATGTGTAGGGCTCCCTGCCCCAGACTGCACGCGACTAGTCAACCATGGTCGACTGTGCGGGAGATCTTTAGACATTCTATCTCCGAGCCGGGAATGTGGCAGCCCGCTCCGAAGCGCGAAGATGACAGTTTTTTGCCTTTTTCTTCTCCGATTCTGAAGTAACATTAGTTAGTTGGACTCTATCCATGGTAAAAGGAGGTGATTTGCATTGTTGTAGCTGCTGCCTTTCTTCAGGTGGGAGCATAATTTATCATCTTGTCTCGCAATTTCGGCATCAATGCCATTACTAGCTCCCCGGCCCCAAAAATAATAATAATAAGCATCAACGAATGGGCAAGCCACGAGGCTGCATCAGTGCATGGTAGATCTACAGCTGGCGCGTGTATTTGTGCTCGTCGACTCCAAACGCGCGCGGCTACTACAAGCTAGCTACTCCGGCTAGGCCCCTGCGCCTGCTTGTTGTTTGCAGAGCGTCCGCGCGTGTATGTTCATTTGCTGCAGACAAAAATCTCACAGAGAGTGCAGTAGTTGGAGGACTTTAGTTGCGACGCAGTAAGTCGGGACAAATGTCCGCTGTGACGACGGCGTGCTGTTGTTAGTTGAGCGGCTGTCAGCGGGTTCTGCTTGCAAGCCGAGCCGAGTGCTGCTGCTCCTGGACTGGAGCGCTAGCTTGGCGAAGACTAACTAGTGCAGGCCAGTGCGTGCTCTTGACTGAACGGAATGAGTGCGGCGGATCGGCGCGACGTCTTGAAGCATGACGATGGAAGCCACGGACTGGATGTGACGGACGGCAAGGGACGTCGCCGAGCCTCTGATCCCACCGGTGCAAAGAAAACGTTCTGGTCTTCACTGAAGGTAAAGCCACAGCGCTCAGCCACAGAGCTGACCCGTCGTCAGAAAAAGGCGCTCTCTGCGCAAATAAGTGCATCTCCCACACCCAGTCCCACGTCTTCTGCAGGAGCAGCCAGTCATCATGAAAATCCTCTTGGCATGCAGTTCCAGCGGGCCACGCCAGACCTGGCAGAGGAGCGTGAGGAGTCGGACGAGGCCACTCCGAGGAGGTCACGGAGCTTCCGCGAGAAGACGAGCGATATGTTCAGTCGTGTTGCGCGACGAGTATCACGTCGAAAGCGAGCGAGAGAGTCACCATCCGTCTCCAGATCTAACACTCCGTCGTCACAGGTTTCGTCCAGTGGTGCGTCGGCTGCTGGCTACGACGACGTCAGCAGCACAGCGCTGCTAGGCAGGGGAGCAAGGAACATTGCCAGCCGCGGCGAGGCGACATCGGCCGAGTATACAGACAATCCTGCTGGAAGCAAGAACCGCCAGTCGTCGGCTCTGCTTCGGCCCGGCATTCAGGTGACGGACGCTAGTATCGCCGACATCAGTGCCGCTGTGCAGCAACTGACGGAGCGTACGGCTGATCCGTTCACGAACACCACACCAGGCAGCTCACCGGGACCACGACGTAGAGCCTACACTGCCGATCCGAACAAGAACCTGGCCACACTGCTGGCACCGAAGAAATGGCTCAGCCGAAATCGACTCCTATGCGAATGGGTGCCTAGTGAGGAAGAAGTAAGTGGATGTTGCCAGAATGTGGCAGGGGTAACAATGGTGCTGTGATAGAGGTGATAGGGGTTTGGGATTGTTTGGCCAACGAGCCACTTAGAAAGTCAGCGTGCGTGTTCATGTCGTTAGTGATCAGATTGTTTCATGCGGAGAGGGGAAGAAAAGTTGGAAATGTAGCCGTACACAATGACTTGTGTAGTCATTGTGTAAGCTAGTTGGCTGCATGAAGTGGGGGGTTGGTGTGTTGTTGATCCTCTCTTCGTGGTGTGAATCTCCGGAGTTGCCGGTCAGCATTTTCCTTGGAGTGACTGCTGCACACCTGTGCTTAGGATGCCAATCAAGCATAAGTAAAATGAATAATTATCACCATACCACCAGTTCTCAATACAGTCCCACAGGTTGGCCAGGCTTTCATACCAGTACAACTTTTATTTAGATTCTTCTCTGTAGAAGGTGTCCAGAAGAGGGTGATAATTGGCAGGACAATTATGACTTTTTAGCCTGGCCCATGACCAATCTGAGAAATCTCCCTCCAGGACCTATTCATCGCCAATGAAAGTGGAAAGATAGAGAACGTAATTGGCTGGTGGGCTGGCATCCACGAAATACGGGGAGAACAGGGCAGGGGACTGCATATTTTCCCTTTCAGCGGAAATGCTGCTGGATATGAACATGCATTGGAGCAGTTTTGATTCGCCATGGTGCCCATCCTTTCATCAGATCTAGAGTGAGACCATGTCCGGAAGATCAACTTGCATGTAGGCATGTAGGGTGCCGCACAGGGAAATCCGATCTCGTGAGCCAAATACATGTAGATCTTCTAGTACTTGTGCTCAGTCGCTCTGCGACCCCAGACCTGTGAGCACTGGACTCTGCTGTGCAGGCAGAACATTTCGTCCTGCTCCAAAGAAAGGGAGTTCGTCCCGTTGTAAATTTCGTCCATGGATCGTAAGAGTATTTCGAAGTATTGAAAAGCTGGACAAATCGACATTAGTCCGGCATTTAATTTTAGTCCCAAAGCTCCTTGGACGAAAAAGACGAAATTATATTCCAGACGAATATTTCTGTTTATTAATTTTATTTATTTATTTTTTTCTACAAAATCCACATATCTCCAGACACTGGGGTGAATGATGGAGTGTGGTGGTGGGGTTTATACAGTATGCTGGCGTCATGCCGGCGACACCACCACCACCCATTCATTGACCAGCACTCTTATGAAGAAGGGTAATGGTTTCTGATGCAGAATCTGAGTTTTACCATACCAGTACATGTACTGACTGTGACTAAGACAGACTCAGTGTTGATCAGAGAACTAACTATTACTTGATCTTCATGGCAGCAGGGTGCATGCCATCATGGTGTCGTTTGAGGAACAATTCCCTGGAGAAGTGCCAGCAGTGCTGCTCTGTATGCTCAGTGTGTGTGTGTGTGTGTGTGTGTGTGTGTGTGTGTGTGTGTGTGTGTGTGTGTGTGTGTGTGTGTGTGTGTGTGTGTGTGTGTGTGTGTGTGTGTGTGTTGTGTATGGACTATGGTTGGCCTGGGTCATGTTGGCTGTGGTACGCATGAGTAGAGGCGGCTAATGAGCGCAGGTACTTGCAGTGGCTATGTGCTACTGACTGAGGGTGGTAACATAATAACGGCAGTCCTCAGCACAAGTTAAACAATTTCTTTATCTATATCAGTCCATACCTGCTTATGGGTCACGCTACTACTGTACTCATACATGTAGATTTATGAGAATGGGGTAAGACTGTGTATGTAGCATAGGCTATAGATGGGCGCAAATGTGGACATTCGCTGTCGCTTGTCCACTATCCGAAGGAGTCCGTTCCGACTGTTCCCTTCTTCATGTGCAAGTGTGCTTGTCATTGTGTAAATGCTGCCGGCTCTGCCACTGTTGCCATTGTTGGAGAGGATGTGCTTGTCGTCGGATGTGGATGTGTGGTGGTGATGTGAAGTGATGGCGTGAATGAATGTTTGTCATTGTGATTGTGCTTCGAGGTCCGTGCTTTGACATAACAGGACTGACCAACTTCCTGGCATGTGGCCATATGGACATATTGGCTGTGTTAGTGCGCGGTGTAGTTCATCAGTTCCAACGCTGTTCCTACATGTAGCCTGCAGACAGCCTTGCGCTGTTGTCCGGTGGGTTCAGATCAATGTACGTTCATCATTCGTCTTCTGGATAGATTTTGACGTACTCGCCTTGACAGCTGTCGTAGGCAATGTCATTTGAATACTTGTATGAATGTAACTATATTCATCACGAAAGGAATACTGATATTTATTTGTACACTCGGCGCGAGTTGTTGCAGCTCCAGAGATAATGCTCGGTGCATGTAGGTGCAGAGCAGCATACAGGTACAGAGAGTGCTGTCTGATCATCGCTGACACAGGACATTCTGAGTAAAAGTAATACAGCTTTAGTTTCCCTTCTCTGTATCGGGATATCTATATGTATTCATAAGTACCACCGCTACCTTTGTTGAGAAGATCGGTGTGAGTGATGCAGTGCAGTGTAACAAGTAAGGTGTTGGAGGTTTGCGACTGGTATTATGGCGTTTTGGGTGTGGGCAGCTTGGAGGTGGGGTTTGGAGGCCAGTTAAGCTTCACACGTGCATGTAGCAGGACTGCGTGGAGTACGGGGTCTGTTTGGCGCCATAGTTAGGTGTTCTACATCGAGTTCAGTGATGATAATCTGTTCACGTTGACTTTGTGTGATGCCTGAAGCAATGAGAAGCAACATGCTGTGCAGCGTTCATGCCAGGTAGGGCTGTCAGCAGCACTGGCATGATACAAGTGAAAGCTGCTAGTTGCTGACACTAGAGGTATCGGTACTGCCCCCTCTCTCCCAGTGAATGCTCAACGAGGCAGTACTCGTCATTACTGTTGGACACCAGTCTATTCTAGATTTATCCTGGCAGTTCTGTGGCTTAGCGTGCATGTTGCAAAGCACCCAGTGTCTGGGGAATATGCTTGTTCCTCTTGCAGCACCTACACTTCATGTTTGCACTTCTTGTTGTGTCTCAAGAAAAGACTCCGCCGGGAGCATCTTTTCTTGAGTGTTTCTCAACACAACTAGGTGATATCAACGTGAATCTGGCTAACTTTAGTTTTTCTTCTCCTTGCGGCTTGTTTTGCGCAGCCTGTGTGGTTTTCGCCCAACAGTGATGTGCTTAAGTTGGATGAGCGCAGTGTACTGACCTTGTCTGCGGTGGAGCACAGAGCTCTGCGGAAACACCTGCACAAACACCTAGAGACCGAGCTTGGGTTCAGCTTCCACGTTCCCAAAGGTAAGTCCAAGCCACCCTGGGATCCGCTTTGCTGTTGTGTAGCATATACGTAAATTACTTTGAAAAGTATGATTGAGCTGAGAGCAAAGAACAGTGAATAGAAGACAGCATAATTATTATTGTGATCAGGGTGACATTGTATGTTGAATATGTCATTGCAGTGGACATATTTCGATCGTGTGGGATTGGGTGTCTCGTGGCACCGTTTTAGCAAAAGAAATCCGACCTCTTGCATTACTGTTGAAATGTCATGCTAACATCTTCCTACGTTCTTATTTAGTTGGTATTCAGTAACATTGAGTTTGTCTTCTGCACGTGCATACTGTGACACTGTGGCACAGATCCCGAGGATCATGGTCATAGAAGTGGAGGTCTGAACAGTGTTCTGCGACATGGCAAGCTGGGAGCTGGTGGCGAGAAAGGTCAGTTGGCAGCGATATGTTCATCAGGCCAGGATGATAAAGAGCTTTTCTTGCATGCTGCATTGCAGTCATGTGTTAGCTGTAGAGACAGATTAACGATCATGATTGTGTTTTGAGTCGTGATGTAACAAACCGCCATGTCCACGAATGATTAATCGCTCCAATACCAAGACAACTAACGAAAGAATGATCTGCTATTCTCCATAAACCCTTGATGCCCTTCAGATAAGCTTGGGTCTTCCAAAGCTGCCCGTATTCTCCAAGATGTATCTCTCCCTGTCATTACCCCAATATTGCTAATACAGGGGGGTTACCCTCACAACGGCATAACAATGTATAATTTTCTCCGTCTTTGTCGTAGAACGTTCATCCACGAGGTCTTGTGAACCTTTGATTTTGAAATTTCCCATTCAAATAATCTTGAAGTACTGCTAGATCGAATACATTCGAAAAATCGAATATCTGTTACATCACCACTGTTTGATGCATTACTGTTTTTGGATAAAAAACATTACTTCGAACTTCTTTTGAAGTACTAGTAACTGTTATGTGCTTGGCTGGCTATGTTGTTTAGGTTCTTCACCGTCAGAGAACTGCGTATTTGGTATACCGCTTCACCGCGTTCTGGAGAATGACCGCTCCATCGCTCGGCGCATTCTTGAAGATGTCGGCATCTCGTCTCAGTTCTGCGCTAGTTCCATGAACTCGCTGGATGAGACCTCGTCTGATCACCAATCCGTGAGCAGTGAGGCAGAGGAAGGTGACGATGTGAGTTCCAAGAGCTAAGCCGAAAAGTGGCTACGTGTTGGCCATCTTGCTGTGAAGCATTGCATGGTTTGCTAAGTGTCAGTGATAGTTTGAATTCTTTATTCTCACGATGGCACCATCGCCAATAAGAGAATGATCGCAGAGTATGTTGCTTGGTACTGTAGTCCAGAAACATGCATATGCGAAAACTGTCGTACTTTCACCCTCCACTGCTGGCCATATGCATGAAATATTGGTACTGAGATGATGAGTCTCAGCATTATGCATGGCCCTGGTATTGTTGCATGCATCTACACTCCTTGTGGTGAGCTAACATGTGAACTTACAACTATACAAAACGAGACTGTGTGTCCATCGTCTTCCTCTGGTTCTTTTGTCCTCCGCTCACTTTGAAATGCTTCTGTATCTTATGTGCCTCTCCTATATTCTTCTCTCGTTTCCTTTATTTGGTGTGTGTGTGCGTGCGTGCGTGCATGCGTGCGTGCGTGTGTGTATATGTGATTGTATGCAGCCTGAAGGTACGGATGGTGGTATGAATGGTACAATTAGCTCTATGGACTTTGGAACAATATGCAATGACCAGTACATGATGTCAGACGAGGCAGCTTCAGTATCGGCTCTTGACATTGAGGATGTGCAGCCAGACATGCGCATGACTCGCACCTTCTCCCTGTCGGAGGCCGTTGACAACCCCCTGGAAATGGCTGAACTGCCTCGGCCACCAGCAAAGAAACCAGCCGTAACGGAACCAGACAATCCCCCGTTCACAGCCACTGCTGGTATTCTAGGCCTAGCCGCCGCGCCGCTTCATTTCCTGGGGCGTAGTGCTGACAACTTGCTCAAGACCGAACAGCCGGCAACGCGCAATGTGGAAGCACTCACCCTTTCTCAGATAATGAAGCAGCAGCGGAAGGCGCAGGCACGCCTAGCATCTCAGGCCGAAGTGGAGATCAGGGTGCGTGACCACAAGAAAGATGTTCCCGAATTCCTCACCAAGGCGTTTGACTTCTTGAAAGAGCACGGTAAGTTTGTCTGCGGTTCCCTGCACGTGTCTCTTCATTGTATTTGTGCATGCAGTAGGGCTAAGTCCTAACCTTGTGTATATTGCACACACATTGCAACATTTAAACAAAGCAATACCACTTTGTGAAGTGCTTTGTACACCTAGATTCGACCAAAGCTATAGTGAGTGGTGCTGGGTCCTTATCAGTGGTTCTGATGCAAATTCTTTTGTACGTTTCATGGCGCAAATTCTTTTGTACGTTTCATGGCGTGTGAGCTGTCAATCTCTGCGTCCCCAGCCCTCCATGCCTGCTTGACTGCTCTTTACTGTTTTGCATGCAGGAATGCAGACAGTGGGGATATTCCGCATTGCCGGTTCCAAGCGACGCTCTAAACAGGTGAGTGGTACATATGGTGGATGGTGGACGTGTCTTGCATTGGATCACGGTGTCTTGCATTGTGTTCAAGCAAAGCAGCAACCATTCATGCCAGTATAAATGTTTTGATCTGAATGTATGTCACATATACTCAAGGTTTATGCGTGCCTATACTTTGTATGCCCTATGATTCAGTCTATGCTACAGCAGCATTTGTAAATTATGATATTTGTTAACATGTGTGTTTGTGTTTTGTTCTCAGATTCGAGAAGACATGGACAACGGGTTCGAGATCAGCTTTCATGAGGGCATTCATCAGCCGTGTGACGTAGCGGCTCTGGTTAAGAACTTTCTGCGTGATCTACCCGAGCCACTTCTAACGCGGCCTCTTTTCCCGGCGTTTGTAGCCGCTTCGAGTAAGTCCGGTGTAGCAGGTGTGGAATTTGGTTTCCGTGTTGAGTGTGTTAGGTGTGTCGAGGCATGGTAGGCACCCGGTATTGCAGACGATAACAGCAGCTGATAGACTCAGTAAGAATGTCTGGTGAGGTGACCTTTAGTCCCATTGCGCGAAATCACGCGACACCTGTACATTTTCGATCTGCGGGATGAAGATGACGACGTCCATGCATCAGGTATCAGGGGGTAGTAAGATACTGGTATATTACTACTCCACGCATCAAATCGTGCTGTCAAGCGTATGCGGGGGAGTGTAGCATGCCATCCCTTACACTTTCCAGCTCAGGGTTACCCTCGCTACCAATGGACGAAATTTCAGGGTCACAGCTTGCGCAACGGCTTTGTCCTGTTCGAATGGCCACTCGACATACTCAGCACAAATTTTCTATTGCATGCATGCACAAAATGTTCAACTTTCGTATTTTTGGCGACTTTACCACCGTCGTGGAGGCTGGTTGGTGAGGAGCAGGTAGCCATCCCTTGTAGAATTAAACACATGGTTCCACAGTGTGGCTGATTCCGCAAGAGCCAGGTCCATACGAGGAACATTCGCTTTGTCTTTTGCCATCGAAGTAAGTCACTTTCCTTGTTCTCAGTGTTTTTTTTACGTTCAACGTTTCTGAGATTTTTGAATTATTCACTTTTCATTCTTTCATACTTTATTTCTTCATGTTCACTGCCTCACTTGCCTTCTGATCTGGAGAATGTGATGGAGGTGACTGTTGGTTACTGCCTGGTATAACGGTTGTCGTGCTGTTGCTGTATTTCCGTCCTGCTCGCGACGTTGTAGATCACAAACAATTTGAAATCACATGAATTGTACTTACCGTCGTGCGTGCGGTATTAGGAAACACTGTGCAGATTAGATCGTCGCAATGTATCTATATGTGTGTCTGGTCATCCTGTGCCACGCAAGAACTCCAACCAGACGCATTCGTCCTCGGCCCTGTTGATCGATTGCCACGGTCCACTCGTCTTTCCTTGAAGAACGATCGATCAAAAAAAAAAATCGAGCTCGAGGACTTTTTGCAAGAAAACGGCTGAAAAAAGGAAGAAAAAAGGGTGCTCAGAATGAGATTCGAGTACACAACCATGGTCCCAGCAGTTTATGTGGATGTCGCTCATAGATGCGCGATTTCGCGCAATGCCTTGAACAAGACAGCTTGCCACTTGGTGTATTGTCTGTATTTTGCATTCGCACCAGTCGGCTAATGCAATGATTGAGCTTATCTTGGCCGGGCACTCTGGCACATTGCATTGTACAGATTAAGCTTATCTTCACCGGGTTTTCATCGGGCCCTCTGAGACTCTGCGGCAATGTGCCGAGTGTGGAATACAATGTGCCAGGGATACTGTACTTGTTGGGTTCAAACTTTAAAGTTATGTTTCCGTGTTGCTTTGTGCAGAAATTGATGACCAGAAGAGGCAAGCAGCCGTTCTCCGTGGACTGGTGTGCCTGCTACCGATGTGCAACCGAGACACTCTCCACGAGCTGCTGGGCTTTCTGCATCACGTGTCTGATTTTGCCGAGGATCAAGTGAATCCGGATGGCAGTGTTACTCCAGGCCACAAGATGGACATGGGCAATCTGGCTGTGGTGTTCGGGCCTAACATCATGCGACCCTACAAGGTCAGTCCACAGGAAGTTCAAGTGGTGTTGAGCTGGGACCCTGACATAGTTATACTTCTGTAAC